CCAGGCCCTTTGTGTTGGTAGGGACAATCTATGAGTCCGTTATCTTTGGCTTGGCGTGATTTCTCCGGGATGCCTAACCTCAGAGGGTCAAAGCAGAAAGGATTTAAGGGAAGAAAAAAAACAGCCATCAGAACCCAAAGACAGTGTTTTCTATTCCTAGTCTTTTGTCACGCCCCTATCCCAATCCCACCCCAGTGATATGTCTGTGTTCTTCTGACTGAGTGACAGCCGGTGATGACTGACAGATCACCCCAGCATGTCTGCAGCTGAGCCCGGGCTGCAACCAGCACAGCAGCAGCTGGACCTCTGTCTGTTAGAGTAAAAGGCTACAGTCCACAGGGTGCTTCACCAAAGAAAAAAACGTCAGAAAGAGCTGCGCATACAGGCAGTGCTCATTAAGGTGGCCTCTCTTCTGATCACATCATGCCAAGGTTAGGTCCTACGTCCTGAGTTAATTCTGTGTGGCTTTTGTTAAAATAAGAGTCTCTGTGCGGAGAGCTCTTTATCCAAACCTAGACCTGGTTCCTCAGGGGGACCCTGTCTGGAGTTAACCCATCATGCTCTGACTGGCCACATGCAGGGGGCCCACTTCTCTCTTTTTCCTTGCCTCACCTGCACCTCTTGGACAGGGGTCGGTGTCTGGGAATCCAGCAAGGAAGAATGGACAGGAAGGGAGAATCTGGTGAGGAAGAAGCTAGCCGAGGGCACGGAAATGCCTCTCCTCACCAGGACTCTTTGTGCACACTGGCACCAGGCCTTTGAGGGGCTCAAAACATAGCAAACACGCAAATGATAAAAATAGGGTGAAAATTCCTTAACCTGCAAGTCTCACAAAATCCCAGCAAAGTAGATGATCATTGGCTTCCTGCCTATTACACATATGCCTTTTTGTATTACAACCTCATCATATTTATTAGAGCTAGGCTGAGAAATTAAAGAACCTCGGCTTACTCCTGGCTCAACCCACTGAACAAATACTCTGTCCACAAACGAGACACCCAGATCAGGCTTCGGAAATAGGATGTAATGGAAAACTGAGAACTTTCTTTTAAAAAACCACAATTATTAAATTCTGTTGCATTAAGCCAGGAGAGACCTAATTCCCCTGAAGTGGGCTTTCACTGAGTATGCAGACATTTCCTACGCCCCACTCACTGAGATAGTACTTCACCTGATACTGTTTCAGATCACTTTGTGGGTATTACCTAGTGAGTTCCCAGCTATTTTTAAGAGAATGATGTGTTCCCCACCAGCAGAGGCGGGCAGATCAGCAAATAAGCTTGGACTGGGTGGATTTAAAACATCTCAGGAGGTAAGTCAACGATACCATGCAGCAAAACAAGGGCTGGGATGAGAGAACAGAAGGCAGAAGACACTGAGGCTCATCACAAAGGCCAGAGGAGAGATGGGGTGTGTATGGAAAGCAGACATTGGCTGAATGGCGGAATATGGGGCTTTTTGTGGTCCCAGAGTCAAGAGAGGGTCTAATCCAGAACATCTGGATTTCAGCTTCAGAGAAATGTTATCAGTGATCTCAGTACCCCATAGGGATGCCAAGTGGGGGGAAGTGAAGCCCAGAGTAGAAATATTCTTCAGCTAGAAGAGTGGACAGACCCATTTTGGGCAGTCGTGTTCATGGCTTATGTCAACCCTGGTGGGGCAGAAGGTGGGGAGGATGCTCAAAGGTACCATCTCTTCATAGTGCAAATAATTCTATCCTGACTTTGGCTCACAGAGTCTCTTGGCCTAGAGCTCTACCCGTGTCTGAAAGCCTGCTGGCACTCTGCCCTCATGGGGATTGAGAGAGGGAGATACCGGAAGACTGGAAGTGAAGAGAGGAGTATCTAAACAGAGACCTAGTTAGAACATCTCTCTACCTTGGTTTCTTTTCCTCCTCCTCTTTTCCCCCATCCCTCCCTCTTTGGAGGGGATGCCAAAGACTTAACATTAGCAAAGGAAGCTGGCTGTAGAGCTAACCATTCTTCTGAGTGGACCTGTGGTATTCAAGTTTGATCATACTGTGTATCTCTAATGGTTTCCATTTTGCTTGGCATTTCTCGAGATGCTGCCATACTTTCTAATCCAAAGAGAAGCACAGGTTTTCAGATCTCAGGGGGTCTCTTTTCAAGGGAGAGAGAAGAGGCAGAATCTGACACGTAGGAAAAGATGTCCTGGTCAGCTATTAGAGGGAAAGGGAAAGGTCAGCTTTATTAAGAGGTGGAAGGAAACAGAAGATTAGGATACTGAGTTCCGTGATATAACAGAAAACTGCCTTTTATTTTTTGGTCTTACTAGAACGGTAAATGCAGGCTAAGGGAAAAGAAACCCAGTTTCTTGGTCAGGGGAAATTCAGTAAGGGTTCCTAAGTTCACTGGTTCTAGAAACACCCCAGCAGTTGGCCAGGGGGACTGTCTCTGCAGGGCTGCACACCATGGCATCTGAGACCCCCGGGCTCTTGTGTACAGGAATTTAAAGAGCTCAGGGGTCCAGGAAGCGTTCCTGGCACAGTGAATTTAGTGTTCATAATGTGGTTTATAGGCAAATCCCATTTCTGGTCCTTGCTCTGCCAGGCTAAATGCCTCCTCCTGTTGAGACAGCGTGAAGAGATCCCTTCCGTTCCTGTTCTCACCCACAGGGCAACAGGCGGGCTGACTCTGAGCGGCTGTCCTGGTGTAGGCCTGTCCCTAGGGAAAGCTGCATTTCTGAGGGGGGAGGAAAACAATTTTGTGCACAGAAAACAGCCCACTGCCGCACTTTGGCATGAAATGATCCTGGTCAGAGGAAACCTTTAAAACAATACAAGGCCCAGCGTCTGAGTCTTATGTAAAGGACACGCCGGTCCAGCCCATAGTCGGGGGCACATGGTGAGCGGGAGAGGGCAGTGAATGGACAGAAGGTCTGAGAGGAGGAGGCTGCTGTTCTGCCTCTGTCATCTCCTGCCCTGAGACCAGTTTGCTGTGGGGGCTGCTTGTGGGGCCCGAACCTCCATCCATATCTAGAAGAGAAGGCCAGGCCATGAGCAATGATTCTGTAGCCCCACAGTTAGATTTGGCTTTTCAGGGTTGATGCAACTATGCCTTGGTTCTATTTTTGACCAAAACAAACCCAAAACTTCGGAAGTAAAAAGAGGCTCCTTCTAAGAAAAATAATAGCCACTCCCTTCTCATTGCCCAGAGGAGAAGTCTGTCGTGGTTGGAGGAGAACAGAGAGAGGGTTTCGTCATGGTGATCTCAGGCCCGTGAAGGGGAAGGTCTGCCTGGCACCTTTCTCCAGCGGGTCCTTCCAGCCACTTGGAGGAGACCCAGGGACGAAGGTGAGGGGTTGGTACCTTTCCACCAGATAGAGGGAGTGGCGTGCCTCCCCAAATGGACAATCTATACAAGACGAGGACGGATTAGCCAAGAAAGGCTCTTTCTCCGTGCTTCTGAGTTTGGGGGGTGAAGAATGACACAGTGGCCTCAGGCTGTCTTCTGCCCAGCTCTTACTCTGGGAAGAGGAAAAGCCTAGTCCGGGCCTCCGGAAATACTCAGCGCCCCGGGGACCCCGGGCTCAGGACATTGGGTGATGAGGCCCCATCAGAGTCTATGTTGCTGGGAGGTGCAGCCCAGGTCTCAGCTGAGGTATATTTACTAATCACCTTCAAAGTCTCAGGACGAACTGACCTTCACTAAACTAGCTGCGGAGGGGTCCCTGCTGTCGGAGGTCCTCCGTACATTCAGACTTTCTCATGTAAGTTTTACATTTCGATGTGCCTGCCTTTCCTCTCTAGAAGTCTCTACTAGGTGATGTAAGGCCCACCTGGGGTGCATGTGTGCTGCCTTTTCGGGGGGGGCAGGGAAGGCTGGACCTCTGGCTCGGGGCCTTGCTGCCTGGCGGAAAGGCCCGCTGCCTCCTGGACCAGCGTCTAGGTTGATACTCGGCCCTATATGCTGATACAGCTAGAGGACTGTTCCACATCCTTCTCTGCTGGTTGGAAAACAGGATCTGCCTTGCTTAAGTGCCCCCACTGCACTTCCCCCACCCTCAGGGATCCCTTGTGACCAGCACTGGCAGGGCTAAGGCCTGGCAGAGCACGGGGCTCCAGCAGAAAGCTTGGACTTCCACTCACACCGGCAGGTGTTCTGGCCACAGGTGTTGTTAAATGCTTTTAAAATATCCCCTTCCTGGAGCCTCGGGCACCTCAGCGAAGCCCGAGGGACCTCCCTGGCCTGTCCTAACACCGCACCTACTGAGTAGCCTACAGACCTCAGAGACAGCGCTGTCCCTCCCAGCAGCCCTCATCCCTCCATCTCTTTGAGCCTCAATCCTGGGGTCTGGGCTGCTGGACTATGGCTTTGCTCACCCAGACCAGCCCTTGCTGCTGCTGCCACAGCACCCTGACCCCTTCTTCCACGTCAGCTTTTCCCTCCCAGCCTCTGACACTTGGCGTCCACTGCTCCAGAACTTAGCCTGCGCTGCTCTGGCAGAAGCGAGCCCGAGGCGGGGTGCGTGAGACGCTAGTGTGGTTGCCCCCCACGGCAGTGGTGCTGGCCAAACAGCAGGAGCTGCTGAGTGAGGGGATCCCACTCCTGGGGTCTCCATGACTCCCCAGTGAAGAGCCAGAAGTTTTCCAGGCTTTTCAGGGCAATGGGTGTAGACACGGGCTGGCTCCATCCCTCCAAGGCTGACAGCAAAGTGGGAAGGGGCAAGGGGAAGCAAAGCCATCCTCTTGTCCCTCCTGCTACGGGAAGACCCCCCCCCCCAGCACATTCTCGAATTTCCTTTCCCCAGCAGTGAGGCAGAACTTCGGGCAGGGCCCATCTTGCACAGGGAAGTAAAGCAATTTGGCGGGTCCCATGGGTTTTCCTTCTGTCCCTTCCGTTCTTCTTGGCTGATGATGCATGGTGTCCTTCTGTCTTCCTCCTCCCTCTTCCTCCCCCCCCGGGCAGCACTGGCTTCCCAACTCGGTCTTGGTTTTCTCCGGGTGAGAGAAGAGCATGCATCGGAGGGGGGAGCAGCCTCTAGCACTTGTCGTCTTCTTCCGTGTCACTCAGGAGGTCGCTGACAGCCCCACACATGACGCCCGGCCCGGGCCCCCCACGCCGCCGCCGCCGATAATGCCCGTTGGGCATCTGCCAGCTGTGCCGCAGTGGCGGTGCGGAGCCGATGGTGTTGGAGCGGCCCAGGCTGGTGGCCACGGCGGCTTCGAAGGTGAGCGTCTCCTCCTCGCCGCAGTCCGAGGCGTGGGAGTCTTCGTGCAGGGCCAGGTAGGGCTCGGAGATGTAGCGCTGTGGGGAGGGGTGCTGGCCCTGCGGGGTGTGCCGGCCCTGCGGGGTGTGCCGGCAGCTGGAAGACTCCACCAGGCTGGCCTCCGTGCTCTCCAGCGCCTGCGAGGCCAGCGGGGAGCCGCACTCGCTCCCGTCCGCTGGCGGAGAGATGCTCCCGGTGTGGTGCAGAAGGGAGCTGTAGGAGAGGAGGGGCCGAGGCTTGGGGGGGACCGGTGGGAGCTGCCGGCGACTTCTTCTTGGGGTGCTGGTGTCAGAGATGGAGGGGATGGAGCTTTCACTCAGGGAACCTGTGCCCTGCGGGGTGGAACAGATATGGCAGGTTAGACGGTACCCAGCCTGATCCCCACCTGGGGTCCTCTTAAGGGCCCTAAGCCTCCTGCCTGAGCACCCTAGGAGCCTGGGAGAGGGAGGACTGAGCTGGGGTCCCCTCCACTTAGGAAGGAGGGATGGAAGGAGACGGAGGAGTCTCCACCGTGGAGACCAGGGCATGCGAACGTCAACTGCAGCAGCAGGCTTGGCAGGTCTGGGCTGGGGCCAGAGACACTGCACGTCTAACACGCTCCCCGGAGCAGCGGGACCACGGAGCAAACACTTACAGGAGCAAGGATCAGGAAGCTCTATGTACGTAACAAGTGGCACAGTGAAAGAAAGCCTTGCCACTTCGGAGAAAGACAGCTACATGAGAGGTGAATGGATGCGAAGGGGTTGCTGTCTGGGAAATCTTCCCTGGGAAGTGGATCTGAGGGAATGGCAGCTACCTTCCCTCATCTCCACTTTGCCTTCATGTCCTAAGTGGCTGGTAGAGGTTAACTCAGCTTCTCCAACCACATGCTCAGTCGCTGCTTCAGGCCTTACTTGACCTGCTTACCTGGACCCAAGGGTCCCTGAGCCCAGCGCTGGTAACCGAACTTTCCGGAAGGTGTTTCTCAAGGTATGTGTGACCTAGGAACCACCCACTCAGAAGCTCCTGGGGAAGGAGGGGTTCTTTTGATGGCAGATTTCTGCTTTTCCCTTTCTAGCTGGTCTCACTACTGAAGAAGAGCCCTCTAGGTTGGGAATATGCAGTTAAAACAAGCTTTTGTGATTCTGTTCACTAAAACTCGCAAGCCACTGCTCTAGAAGAAACTTCTCAACTGCTTCTCAAGGCTACTGTGGTAGACCTTCCTCCTCCCCTCTGCTCACTGCTTGGGGAGGGAGGAGGAAAGCAGGTCGAGGCAATGTTTTCACAGAGCTCGGGTAGTGATTTCTGAGGCAGGGGCTGGAAGGACAAGGGGGTCTTCTTCTTGGGATGGCTGGAAGCTAGGTAAATGAGGTTGGACTGATCCAAATGATAAATCCTGCGCTGAGAGATGAATCACCACTGGAACTGGGGCTAAGGGTCACGCAACTGGTCAAAGAAACTTTTCTGGCTAAAAGTGATCCTTTTCTCCTAAATCTGGCTGAGGTGCTGGTGAACTGGTGACTTTGGTTTTTGAGGACTAAGATGGAATGACCTCTAGATACTATTGTCTTTCTTGGGGGAACTATCTGGTTTCCTGTGAATTCATATCCTTTGTGAGTTTACAAGCAGGAAGCAGCTACTTTCCATGCACAATGGGTATATTTTCCTGTGAAACCAAGGTCTGTGTGGGTGCCAGATGCCCACATTTTGTACTTAATGTTAACAGACCACCCCTCCCTGTCCTTCTACAGGGCCTCCACTTCCTGTCCATACTCACCGGTCTGTTGGGGGTCTGTGACCTGCCCTCACTGGGAGACCTGGACTGCTGGCGCTCTGGGGACTCCCAGTCGGCCTGGGTCCCTCGTTCCTCTGAGTTGCAGCGGGAGACATCGGGAGAGAGAAGATGCTTTCGCTCTTTCGACCGTCCCCGCTCTCTGCCCCCTGAGCGGTGGGTGTCAGACTTGTGGCCTGGGAGAGATGACAAAAGCACCTGATCACAACTCTACCCATACTGGCCTCTGAACATGGAAGAGATGTCATGTGGCCTGGGTCAGACTGGGCCGCTGAGGAATCCTAGCTTCTCCAGGCATGTCAACAGGTGATTCCCTTTTGTGAAGAGGAAAGTACGCAAGTTGCCATTAGAAAGGTATATATGCCAAAGGATGCACTTGGTTCTCTTCTGCTTCTGTTTATGCTAGACACAATCAAGATAGAATCTTTGCCAACAAGATGGCCCATTCTCTATGTCCTAAACATGTGTGCGTAATTTTGGGGGGAGGGGGAAGATGGCATCAGTAAAGGGATGGAGGTCAAAGGGTTCAGTCCCATTGAGGATGTCTGGTCCCATTTCTGCCATGTATTGCATATATATGTATCCTGTGATATAGGCATGTCACTGCTTTTTGATCTGTTTCCTCACCTTGTAAAATAGAAACCATTAGAAAATCATAAGAATGCTTCAAATCCTATCAGGATGACCCTTTTCCTTAAAAAAACAAACAAAAAAACAAAACTCAAAAACCTAAAAAAAAATTCCAGGTAGCACTACTGGGGTTGAAGCAGAGTTGGCAGTAAGAGCCCAGCCCTTGCCAGGAATGTGTTAGAGACCCCCTAAGGCGGGGCACCTGGGGGGCTAAGTTGGTTAAGCAGCTGCCTTTGGCTCACATCATGATCCTGGGAGGGCCGCCTTCTCCCTCAGCCCACCACTCTGCCTACTTGTGCTATCTCTCTGTCAAATAAGATCTTTAAAAAAAAAAAAAAGAAAAGAAAAAAAGAAACTCCATAAGGAACTGCAGTGCTTTTGCAGGTCATTTGAAAAATCTCAGTTTTTTAAATCATTGAAGTATAATTAAAATACAAGGTTATATTCGTTTCAGATGTACTACAGAATTGATTCAACAGTTCTATACATTTTAATGATTTCTGTAGTCCTACTCTGAAAGAAATTTCAGCCTTTATGATGAATATACAAGATTCTGTTCTAGGATAAGTTAGATAGCGAATGCTTTCCGATGACAAATTTTTTTTTTTTAAAGATTTTATTTATTTGACAGAGATCACAAGTAGGCCGAGGGGCAGGCTCCCTGCTGAGCAGAGAACCCGATGTGGGGCTTGATCCAGGACCCTGAGATCATGACGTGAGCCGAAGGCAGAGGCTTTAACCCACTGAGCCACCCAGGCACGCCGAGTGTTCTTTCTTCCCTTGCTCTCCTCAACCTGCATTATCTGAATGCTGTTCCAGTGATTTTCAGTTTGTGTTAGAACTGCTCATCAGCGCAAGAACCAGAAAAGAGGTGAACAGGGAAGACCCCCTCACCTGAGTCAGAATTCAGGCGATGAGCTGACAGCCTCAGCGAGGAGTGGTAACTCCGACGACGCGACTTATAGGTGTTTTCACTGCTTCTCTCCATGGAGAATTCCTCCAGCCATGAGGAATTTGAACGCTTATCCCGAATTGTAGAAAATGAACGTCTCATGGAGCTGGGATCTGTCACCACCTGGAAACAGGAGCCCCCGGAGGAACATAAAATCTGATTAATTATGGAAAATATCTAAAAGTAAGGAAGAAGTGAGATAGAGATTGTTGAAGATTGCAAACTGTAACCTTCCTTAAATCCCTTTTGCTTGGACCTTAGCTGGTGGCAAGTGTCCTATGCTACGTTAACTGGACTTATCCAGGGCCTTTTTTTCATGCTCAGGAAAGCAAGCAGCTAAGTGTACAGTGCAAGCTTCCCCTAGAGTCCTCTACCGTAGTGACCGAGCCAGGATCTGCAGTGAACCTTGAGCCACTTTGAAATATGTGAGGGAACTGATCACGAAGTCTGCACCATGAAAGAAGCATAACTTGCCTTTTATCTGTTGCTCTCAACAGGGAAGACTGTGCCATGTAGCCCAGGAGCTCAGGAGAGCATGCAGCTGGGAGGCATTGCTGTCTATCATCCATCCCCTCTGACCCCCAGCCCCACCTTAAATGCTGGCATTTTGATTAGCCACAGATGTTAAAACAGATCCACAAAAACTTCCTGTCTCTGTCAAAACTTGATGTAAGACAGACAGACAGAAAAAAGAAGCCAGGAAAACAGACAAAGAAATGAGGCGTGGCCTGCACTGGTTAGGACAGACGGTCCTGACACAGAGCTGTGTGTAAGTAATTGCATATGTGCTGGGGAAGCCAAGAAAGGTGGAAAGGGGAGGCGGAAACCACAGGGAAAATCCTGGAAAATATTTCTTGCATGGCTGGTTGAGTCTTGTTGAGAATGTTGAGCCCATCCGGAAGGAATCACACTGTTTTGCTGGTTAGACTTTTATGGTTAGGACTTCACTAAAAACACATCGCCGAGGGACGGGCTCTAAACAGAAGGCCCACGAGCCAGATTTTGCTTATACGGAAAGGATTGGGACTAGCTGAGAGCTCACCTGAAAGTATCAGATGATTTTTCATAACCCACCACTTCAATACAGTCCAGGATGCCACTACACATGGTAGGTGGTGATAGCTTTTTACCTGGGGATCCACAGTCAGGCGTGGCATAGAGGATGCCCTCCCAGATCCCGTATGCTCCTGGGTGTCCGAAGGAAGGTAGATGCCATGGTTAGAAGACTGCACGCTTTTTAATTCACTAACCTCTGGCTCCTGGAAATAAACACACAGCCAAGCTTGTGGGACTTGGTTCCATCTCATTGCTTCTCACCTCCAGCGGATGATTCTGCCTCCTCCATAACAAGAATGGCTTTTGGAAGAGAGACTTGCATCTTTAAGGTCTCAGTTGGATGGGTATATATGTGTGCATTTTTGTGTGCACATGTGGTATACCAGATATCCCAAACAGAGCTCTACTGGGGACTGAAAGGTAAAGATTACCTTTTCTAGACAAGCATCCTCTTATCTTACCACTAAGCAGTGCTTCAGATTTTATAGCTTTGTAAAACATTATCAGCCATAATACTTCTTAGATATGTGACGTTTACTCTCTGAAAGTTGGCAGTGTTTGTTAGGCTTATTCTTTTAACTGGAGGAAGCAAAGAAATCACTATTCTAAGGAAAAGTCACCAATTTCTGGTGTCAAATATGTCATCTCAAACCTTAAGACACATGATTTAATTAGCTGAGAACTTTCTTTCTGATTGAAACCATTCAAAAAATGTGATAGATGGCCATTTGTCAGGGATGCTCTTGACTAATACAGTCTAACAAAAATAGTATGCAAAGTGCCTCTGTAATTTTAGATTTCCTAGGGTCTACATTTTAAAAAGTTTAAAAAATCATCAAATTTAATATATTTTATTTAGCCCAATATATCCAAATATTTTCACGTCAACATGTAATCAGTCTAAAACTTGGGATATTTCATGTCTTTTTGACACCACCACGTCTTTGACAGGGCCTGTATTTTCCAAGTGCTCAAAGGTCACATGTGGGTAGTGGCTGTTATTCTGGGCTATGCCATTCTAGAAGGTTGGATTGGAACTTTCTGAGGGGTCAGCTCTTTTAGGTGATTTTCCTGGGTAAAGAACGTTAGTTTGGCAAACATACATGATCCGTACAGATAGCTACCGTCCCTGCCTAAAGGGTAGAGTCGCCTTAGAAATGTTTACATGGGCCACCCAAGAGACCTAGAAATATCCTGGACATCTGGAGATTTTACCAGAAAGAAAAATCTATTTTATATTTAGAGAATGACACCCTCAAAACCTAGTTGTTTAAATAGGGCACTGCTGAAGGGAAGGGTACCTGAGACCCTGTTCAGCCTCCAAGACCATTTGGCCGGGTGGTTTCTGGTGTGAGGGGGAGGACTGCCCTCCTTGGACATGATACGTGCGCTTGAGGAAATTATAGTGTCTGCTGTACACGCTTTATAAAGCACACAGGTCCGACTTCAAACAGACGTGGCAACAACACTGCAGTGTGTGGGGTGGGATAGGACACACGCACGAATCACGGCCATGCCTCGGGATGTGGGGCAGGGGGGCCCCAAGGGATGGGCAGGAGGACACAGTGGCGAGCGTGTGGCACGGGCTGACACCTGAATTACAGACACCGGTACTGACAATGAGATGAACACAGATCCAAAGAGTCCTGGCACTACGGCTCAGCCTTGGGGAACCCCCAGAAATAATGATGTAATAAAGCCTCCCTGTGAAAGAAAGGACACATTATTGAGATTTTTCCCAGCCAGACACATCATCAGGCAGACAAGCTGTAAAATGCCGAGAGGCACTTTTAAGAATCAAACGATCTGGGCGCCTGGGTGGCTCAGTGGGTTAAGCCGCTGCCTTCGGCTCAGGTCATGATCTCAGGGTCCTGGGATCGAGTCCCGCATCGGGCTCTCTGCTCAGCAGGGAACCTGCTTCCCTCTCTCTCTGCCTGCCTCTCTGTCTACTTGTGATCTCCCTCTGTCAAATAAATAAATAAAATCTTAAAAAAAAAAAAAAAGAATCAAACGATCTGTACCAATTAGTCCATGGTGCTAAGTCCCTCCTAAAGGAAGGCAGGAAATTAGTCCAAGGATTCCTGCCCACCTTACCAAGAATGCCCAAGGTACTCACACACTGGGAGGGTTTGGTCTAGCCATCTCGCAAACATCTACACAGAATTCCCTGTCTCAGTAGTCACAGGAGACTGAATCACCCATTTGATCTACCCGAGGGTTTTGCCCCCCTCTAAGGTACCTATACCATCAGACATGCACTGCATAAACAGGCCAGTCCCACACTCCACCCACATCATCCATCCAGGGTGGATCTAGGGTGCACGGTAGCAATGGAGGGGGTCAGGAGAGAGGCAGAGAAAAAAAAAAAAAAAAAACCAGATGAATTATAATCCAATGACACGGAGCTTAGGATAAGCTGTCTATATGGACTTTCGTCAATGTTGAGTTTTTTTTTTTTTTTTCTTTCCAGGCTTTAACTGTAAGCTCAGGAGTGACCTTGATCTCAGGACTCCTGAACTAAGGATAATGGTAAAGTCTATTATCATTGGGAATCAAAACACAAAGCTGTTTTAGCTTTGTATTAGCAAAAGCTAAAGGTCAGTGTGCCCCGCCCCGCCCCCAAACTTAAACTTGATTCAGCAGGTTCTCAGGAACCTTACCATTTATGCTAATGAAAAACTCTAGGCTCAGGGGAGGGATTTTAAGAACCTCTTAATATGTACTTGATTTACAGAATTGTGACCAAAAGGGACACGTAGAAAAGAGATAAGAGGTTCTTCTGTAACTCTTGACTGACAGCTCATCACAGTCACATACGCTCCCCTGAGTTACCCAGGAGGTGGGCTTCGCCAGAGGGCCACCATAGGGCACTCCTGTCTTCCCAGGAATATACATGGGTACACTAAGCTACCCATTGGATGCCACTCATTCTGATGGCTCATCCTAAGGCTCCATCCCAAAGACAAGATTTTGTGACTCTTGTCTCTACATTTGCTGCTTACAGGCATAAATTAAGAAGTTTTGGCCTGAAGCGATCTAAGTTCCTGCAGCAGGTAAGGGGGCCTCTGGGACTGTTAAAAGCTGCAGAGAACATGAGAAATTTAGCCAGAAAAGGAGAGACAGCTGGTAACTGACTGGCAGGATGATCAGAAAGGGTTTTCCTGATAAACCATAGCTATGAAATAAGATTTGGAAATGAGAGTGGGAGGGATCAGGAAACTAAGGAACTAATTTTGAGGTCATGTAACTCATTCATTCACCAGAGACTGCTGTTCCTGGAACTGTCCATCATCGGCCGGGTCCATACAAGCCAACTGGAATATTTCCTGGGGGGAGAGCGGACTCATCGAAGGGTATCCACTACGGCCACTCCTGAAAAGCAACGGCAAAGTAAGAAGTAACGTGTACACGAGAGAAAGGAAAAGTCCTGTCATAGCAACCAATACTCATTCCCACCCCAGACAGGACTTCCTTTCCGGCAAGGGCAACACCCGTCGGTATCGGCTGGGTGTGAGGCTGGTGACTGACAGAGGGCTGGACCTTAGAATAAAAACGTTTAAAAAAAAAAAAAAAAAAAAGCATTGGAAAGGAGAAGCACTGTTTTCAACCTGCATTTGGAACCATTCGTCATTCTGCTGGTGACTAGCCGATCTGTGACACGCGACGTTATTTGTCACACTCGGCCATATGGAAGACCAATGGTTGATGACAAACCTGTTTCTGCTCAGTTTCTCGCTTCAGCAGAAAAAAAATATACTGTAGTTTAAACAGTGAACAGTTTGTTTAAATATTAAGCAGTCATGGTCTTTTAAAAAATTTCCTCGTCTCAGTAGAAATATGGTTTTATTGTGCCAACATATTTGGCCAGACTAAACAATTCAATGCCATGAACATCTACTGAAGGACAACTTTGTTCCAGACACTATGTCTGTTGGTTTATGAACTGGGTGGAATGATCTCAGAGGTGGTGGGGAGGAGCTGGTCACTTCTGGTTTGATTGTTATGGAGGAAGATACTTAAATGGTGATGAGGTAAGAGGCCTCTGAATGAAAGCTATGGTGAGCTATCCCAGTTTAAACCACTGTTGGGTACCTGCAGATGCTCTTAGCCAATGGGATCCATGGGGCCGGTTAGGAGAAAAAGAGGTAGCCACTCTCTCCTGAGACGATGCCCGTTGCTGCCCTTCAGGGCTATTAGCACATTAAGAGGTGCCCTCTGACCTACTCAGGAATGCAGAGTAAGCTTCCTGAGGGTGAGCAGAGGGACAGTGGCTGTGGACAGGGCCATAGCTCTCAGTGATGGTGGAGCTGGAAGGGAGGGTTGGGGCACCATCTCGTGCTCCAAGGACGGACAGTTCATAGCTGAGTCCTGTACTCATGAATGCATCCGCTAGGAAATCTGAGGCATGAACAGATTTACTTACAAAGAATCCATAGGCACAATCTTACCTTGACTGGGATCACAGGGAGAGATCTGAAGAGCAGAGAGTCACCCCACCTGTCCCCTTGCTGCCAGGAGGATGTTTGCTGAATTTTCACAACTGCTACAGAGCAACCTGATATTTAAATGACCTGCTTTCATGTCAGTTCTCTTCCTCAGTGTGCCTTCTCCTGAGGACCACTGGGAGCAAGATAGACACTGCTCTCTCAGTAACCAAAGAATCCCCAATAGAGACTGAGGACACTTGGGATGGCCAAACAACCTCCAAGAGTTGAATAACTTGAAGCGAGAGTGACTTCCTCCTTGAAAAACCGCGTCTGGATTCTGTTAGGATCAAGTCTGGAACTCGGCCTCTCCTGATCTAGTCCTTGCTCTGCCTGCTTTCTCATGTCCTTTACCTCCTGCACCTGAATTTCAGACACACTGGACTCTCTCAGTTCACTGAATGGGCCCGCCTGGCTTCTCTCTGCCTCAAGATGTCAATACGAGCTGTTCCCAGAGGGCAGAATGCTTTTCTCCAACTCCCCTGCCCTCTGCAAACTTTTTTCACATTATTTTGAATTCATCCTTCAAAATTCACTTTGTTCAGGAAATGTTCTCTGATATCTCCCCCCACCCTCCCCCCAAACTCCCCCACCCCCCACCGGAACAGAGGTGGACTCAGATTATGCCACACGCTTTTCTTCCTAGGACACATCACCAAAAATCACTTTTCTTCTTTCCAATAACTCCATTTCAGGACTGGCTTTCCACCAGGTGTAAGCTCAGCGAAGGCAGAAGGTCCTGAGGACCCGGCCGGATGCTCCACCGCTGCCCTCTCTCGGGAAATGTGCCAACATCCACCGAAAGAAAGACATGCTGGGGGGTGCCTGGGTGGCTCAGTGGGTTAAGCCTCTGCCTTCAGCTCAGGTCACGATCTCAGGGTCCTGGGATCGAGCCCCACATCAGGCTCTCTGCTCAGCAGGGAGCCTGCTTCCCCCTCTCTCTCTGCCTGCCTCTCTGCCTGCTTGTGATCTCTCTCTCTCTCAATCTGTTAAATAAATAAAATCTTAAAAAAAAAAAAACTTATGCTGAAAACTTGTGGGTCATCTTTTTTCCCCCTCTCCTTCACTCCCTGAGGCAAATCAATTACCACATCCCATCCAGACTCCCTACTGATATTTCAAGTCTGAGCATCTCTCCCCATCTCCATCCTGTTAGTCCAAGCCACAGTCATTAATAATTCACATAATTGCAGTCTCATACTAAAAGCAATTCTGTCATTCAAACTGCCCCCCTCTCATCCACATCGGTTTCAAGAATCATTGAAAAGCCCAAGTCTGATCATGTCACACTGATGAGTAAAACTCCATGATCCTCAGATAAACCCTCACTCCTGTATCCTGTTATGCTTCCCGTGCTGGCCCCAGTGGAGCTTATCACCCCAGCTCTCTGTGCTCCAGCCCTCCTGATGGCTTTCAGTTTCCTGAGGTTTCCCCCCGCCCCTTTTCCCTCTCTTGAAGACTATGCCTTTGAGTCTCACTTAAATGTTATTTGCACAGGGAGGCCTCTCTACACCTCAGAACCGCTGTGTTGCTTCCTTTCTGTGGTATCACACGAGGCTACCCTTTCTGCATTGTAACCTTCCTCCTGTGTGTAATTTCTTTCTCGGGATTTGTCTCCATGGGGGGCCTTGCTCATGTTGACAGCTAACTCCCCAGTGCCCGAGACAGCTCTTCTGTCATAAGGGAATGTAATAAATATTGGTCAAATCAAGAAGTAAATGAATCAGGGCACCTGGGTGGCTCAGTGGTTTAAAGCCTCTGCCTTCGGCTCAGGTCATGATCCCAGGGTCCTGGGATCGAGCCCCACATCTGGCTCTCTGCTAGGCAGGGAGCCTGCTTCCCTTCCTCTCTCTCTGTCTCCCTCTCTGCCTACTTGTGATCTCTCTCTCTCTCTCTCTAAGAAATAAATAAAATCTTTAAAAAAAAAAAGTAAATGAATCAAGTAACGCAGGGAGGAGTTGGACTGATGCTTTGATGGGAGATAATATGTGAAATTGTTGGGGTGGGAGAGATCCAGGTGGAGGGGTGTCCTCTCTTTCTAAACCAAGGCCCTTGGAAAACACTGTACTTCCCCTGAGAAGTTTCTACTGCTCCAGCCATGCCCCCTTCCTGCACAGAACCCAGACACACATCTCCTGGTTTTCTACAGACAGGAGAATCCATACCTTGCTACTTTATCACTTCAGATAATCTGTAAAAATGAACAATAGCCTTGGTCATTATGTTGGTCCTTTGCTTCTCTTGCAAATATGCTGGATTGCGACCTCTGAAATGAATGCTTTTCAAAAACAGGTGTCCAGCATCACAGGCTGAAAGGAATTCATGGTGTGAGAAACTCCAAATGGCATTCTGACAGAGGTCTCATCCCCAAGCCCTGATTTCATTCCTCTGATAACTACTGAGGTTATTTAGTGATTATTGGTTCCATGGGGATGAAGATTGGGTTAAACCCAACCACAAAAACTCCCTCACCTGGGGTAGAGAGATTTCTGCCCTTTGGGTACTTGGACAAGCTTGCTGATGTACAGAAGGTTTAGGTTACAATGAGGTATGGCTGCTATAGGAATCATGTATGACCAATGACCAAGGAGGGGACTAAGGTTTGCAACTCAGAAGAGTTGGCAAATTCCTTACCTGAGGTATTTTTGTTTTGTTTTGTTTTGCCTGCTCTAGGGTTCCTTTTCTTCATTACAGATAACAGCGCAGTGGGAATATTCTGGAGTTAGGAAGAACAAACAACTTCCAGTTCAGCTTCCCACTAGCCGCATGGATGTGGGGAACTTACTTAGTCCCCACTTTATCTGTAGAGCGAATGCACTAACGCAAGCCCTTCTTCTTTTGTCCATTCACAGTGCTCTCCCTTGAGCTGGCCCCAGAATGAACATGCTATTACCCCTGCTCAATAGCCATTTTAAAATAAAAAATATGGATTTCTCATGCTCAGAGAAAGGATCACTTGGCTCAGACTATTATTTCCTGGGCATTTCTGGGCCTGCACCATGGTGCTGGTGACCAGAAGCAGGAAGGACAGCTGGGAGCCCTTGGTTATACTCACAGGCCTGAAACAGGGTCTTGCTGGAGATAGGGCAGGGCTTTGGCATTAGCAATGATCTCCTGAGGCAGAGATGAGGGCTCCATGCGCTGGAACATGGGTGCATTTTTCTGTGTTAAAAGCAAGGAGGAGGAAAAAGGACTCATGTGATGATGGGGTCTACCAGCAGGGGTTGGGGATCCCATTTTCTTGGGTAAGACAGGATCATGCCTGATCCTCTGATCTCCTGGGTTTCTAATCCCCAGCACTAGAAAGTTCCTGGACCCCACACCCTAGCCTCTGCTTCCGAGCACTTGTAGGGCACTGTGCCCCAGGGAGGCGCAGGCTTGGCCCTAGAGGGGCCCTCTAGTAACTCTTCCTGGTCACCCCGCTGCGGCCACTGTCAATGACCCTCACCTGCTCTTCCAGCTGCTGCCTCTGCTTCTTCACCTTACTCTGCTTGTAGTAGTCCATGATCATCATCGCGGCATAGATTTTGCCCACAGTCAGGTCTGAGGCTAGAACCACAAAGGTGGCATAGAAGAGAACAGGGAGAAGACAGGTGGCAGAGAGTGAGGACCACTCGAAAGCTTCCCCGCTCTCTGCAGCTGGTTTGCTCCCTCCGCCACCCATCTATAGTCCACATTCATGGAGAGCGCCACGTGTGCCCGACCCTGGGGATACAGAGTGACGAGGTCCCAGATCTGCCCTCGGGGAACTTCCACTGCCACGGAGGATAAGGATATTGATGAGAAAGAGTAAGATAAGAGTAAAGTGTCACCTCCACTGGTCTAGATTCCCATCTCTAAGTCACAGCACCCTCATTCCCAACTACGTGAAGGTTTGCTGAGCCCTATCGTGTACCAGGAGAGAGCTCTGTGCCCAAGAAGTTTCACCCACTACTGCAGTGACCTGTCCTGAAAAAATGTTTTCAGTGCATGCAAAAGGGATTAAGAAGTGGGGGATCTGGGATTCCTAAGGATAAAAGAGCACCCTTTCCTTATCTCTTTGGTCACTTCCTGTTCCCCCAAAAGACATGACTGTGGCATGCTGAGCCCACAGAGACAATGCAACCCAGGAGGAGACCCCGCACCTTTGGGCATGGGCACAAGCAGATCTAGCATCTTCTGGGACAGGTGGGGCCAGATGGCCAGGGTCTCCTTTTGCAGCTCCGAGTCTAGCTGCTGTCTGTCTGCACCACCTAGAAGATAAATTTTAATAAACAGGACAGACACGCAAATACCAAGGACTGACGGAGTAGGTCGGGGCGGGAGCTGAATCAGCATGGCCCCTCATATTGTCACTGGAAGTCCTGTCACTGAGTGACTGTGGATCTTGTAATACCAGGTCTTTCTGCTGAAGAAGCAGAACACAATTTGGCTCTCCTTTTTAGTGACTCAGGGATATCCTGCCACAGAGATCTGAGGCCCCGAGACCAAAAGCAGCTTCCTCATTCATTTGAAACACCTCCCAAGTGCTTAATACATCAGAGGAAAAAATGAAAAGAGCCATAAAGAGATTCCCCTGCCTCATGAGATGTACATCAATTCTTCCAGCGACTCTGACTCCCTGGTCTGAGTGACCTGAGTTTTGGATCGGGCGAGAGCAAGAAGGCTGGAGGGCCATCTGGAAGTAGTAAGCCTGTTCTCTCTCCTCAGTCACTGCATGAGACATGGAGAGGAGCAAAGTGCTGTCCTCTACAACTCCAGCTGTGAACCTTCCAGGGCATCAGAGAGACCAATAAGGAAGAAAGGACAGAATCAAAACTCTTATGCTCAATAAGCAAAGACTTCTAAAATGCCTACTATGTGCCAGACCCGGAACACTGTAGGCTGGTAAAGCTGAAAGGAGCCTTACAGATGATCAAACCATTCATTTTTCCAGGAAGAGATGACAAACATTATAGTCACCGAGTCAGAGGTGAAACTAGGACCCTGTAGAGCGGATTTCCACATCATGGCGTTGTCAGGTGGATCTGAGTTCGAACATCTCCATCTTGTGCCCCCCTTGGGTGAGTCATTCCAGAATCCCGTTTTCTCTCCCCGGCTCACCTTTGGCAATCTTAATGTCCAGAGCTGTCCGGATCAGAGCCATCAGTGTGGAGGTGAAGTGGACCGTCATGTCCTCAGCCACTGGCATATTCATCAGGACCAATCTCTGTGCGAAAGAGAGGAAACAAAACAGCAGGAAGAAAAAAAAATACCAAAAGAAACCTTGGTGAGAAGTGAAGAAAAAAGTCAGGGGTCAGATGCAGAGACAAAAAAGAAGGGCAAGGATTCCCTATCCCTGATCCCACCTCCTCTCCCTGCTTCTCACTTCAGGCTCATTCACTACTACGTAGTAAGTTAGTTTTTTTCCTAGGAATATCACCAAATTCCCAAAAGTCATTCTTCAGGACTCCCCTACGGTCCTAAGAATGTCTTTAATAGGGACGGAAAGTGATTTCTAAGAGAAGTGGCTCGGAGAAAAGAGTCAGCTCTAGGAGGTGACTCCATTCCCTGATTCGAGGTTGCCGTTTCCCTTTGTCCCACAGACATCCCCAAAACTCACATGGAAAGATAGTGATGGGGGAGATTTCGCTCTGCTTATCTGACTTGAAAGATGCATCCTGATGCCCCCTTTTTGAGTCTTTAAAAGGTGAAATTTGCCAGCACATGATTAAACATGCATAAGTCCAACTTATCCAAAGGATGAGGTGGAACAGGATAGAGAGGGAGGAGAGTGCAAACAGGGTCTAGGGGAAGAAGGCTGGGGAGCGCAGAGGAGAGAGAATGAGAGAAGGGTGACCAAGGCAGGAGCAGAGTGGGCAGGCCTTGTTCCCCTCACCCGAAGGAAGGGATCAAATTGAAATGGCCAAATCCACTTTCCAGAGAGTATCTTGCTTTTGGAATCCTTTGACTTTTTCCTCCAGGCCCCACACCCCCTCTCCCACCAAGCTTCATCCCAGAAATTCAAAGAACTCAATACCACATCCCAACACCTGGTCCTCTTGGATGTGGCCATCATGAGCAAAAAGGATGCCAGCCTGTGAGCTGTGCATGAAGAGCCATGTCCTGGACCCTAAAGGGCCCTGTTCCAAGGAGATGCTCTCTGGAGCCGTACAACTTGGAGGTAGAAGCAGCAGAAGGTCCTCTGGCAGAACCACCAGCCTAGCAGGGAGGGATGTGTCTCTTCCCAAGGCAGGATCTTTAATGCTCCATTGGAACATCTCGCCTAATGTGATTCCACGGACACGGTGTCTTAGAGTGTAAAGTCAGTTTCTTGTTTGTATCTGAGTGCCATCTCTCTCCCACTTCCTTAAGCTTCTAGACAAGTGGCAACACTGCTGGGGTGCATTCCTAGATGAAGGAGCTCCAGAGTGCTGGGTCAGTCTAAACACCATACAGTAACTATTACTAATAGGTGAAGAAGAAAAGCAGACCCCAAAGCTCTGAGTACCCTGACAGCAGGTGACTTCCCATATACAATGCTGCTCTGAGCAAGCTATGGGGAATCCTCCTGTGACTCCAGGGCCAGGCGCCATCATCAGTCATGCCAAGAATGCAAGTCTAATGATGAGGGCAACTTGTGCCCATTGTCCCCTTTTCCCTTGTACTGACAAGAGAGCCCAGCAGCTGGGCTGATAGGGGAAGGGAGCTGGATTCTTCTGTGTGTATCACGGAGCTATGTTCTCCCCTTTATCTGATACCTAGAAGGAACCATGCCACGGTTCCTTCCTATGTCAAAGAAGAAGAAATTTGTTAAGAGTTTACCCCTCTCCTAAAAAATTCTTGAACCACGTTTAGACAAATTTCTGTATTTATTTTCTTAACTTATCTAATTGAAGATTTTGTTTTATAGGCTGATAGGAGTTTTGCTATAGGCTTCCTTCTTGCCCATATATGCTATTTGCTGGCCACCACTCAGCCTCCTCTGAGGGAACACGCTACTTAACACTTCCTTCCCGGTAATCTGCTCACAAGAAGCCACACGCTTGGAGAAACGCAGACTCACCCATACCACGGCCCAAGGTGCAGAGTCTTGCCAACCATGCTTTGTAGTGTTCTAGGACTCTGTACTTCCAGGAACCTTCCTTGCCCTTCCATCTCATCGTTTCTTTTCCCCTCGGTTCCCTCCTCCCCCTCCCCAGCCCAGCTTCCTCCCCATGTTCTGGCCTCCCCACAGCTGGGCCCCATTTCCTGTTGGTCTCTAGCCCAGAACAAAGGAAGGGGTGGTCTACCTTATATGCCACTTTGGAGGGACATCTCTTGCCGAGGCCTAGCGGTGGTGACATGAGAGTCAGCATTTCATACATCTCAGTGTAATGGATGCGGCCACTGCTCATGGAGGGGTGGGAAGTGGGGGGTGGGGGTTGGCGGGGCAGGAAGGGTGATAGGGAAAGGAACAGGAAGTGGGGAGAAGGATGCAGACGGGGAGGAGAGGAGAACAGGCATTCCCAGAGAGCCAAAACAAAACAAACAAAATAATACAGAAAACAGGAGAAGAGAAACAAAACAAAATGGACAAACAGAAAAAGAACAGGAAACCTGTTAATCAAGGCAAATCATACGTGTGACTCTGTCCTGGTGCGGATTTATATCACGCCCCACACAGACCCGGGAACGTTGATGGCAACCTTCTGGTCCCTCTGGCTCTGTTTTTCTCCTCCTGGATGACCAGGACCCTACTTGGCTGTTCACGTTACCCATCCCCCATTCAACACAAGCCTATGTTCAATTCCCAGGGCTGTGTGCGAGTGGTATAAAACGGATAGACGGTGCTCCAGCCACGGGTTAGGACTCCTGGCCCCAGTGGCGATGGGGCCCCCAACCTGGAAGCCAGGCCCTTCTCCTCCCCTCGACCCATAGGTGGAACATCGTGTATCCCTCTCTGCGGTGTGTGTGCAGCCGGAGGTGGCAACTTGCACTGGAAGTGGTGGGCTGCCTTTTCACATCAGCCCCGTTGCTTCCACCTGGCTTTGCGGGGGAGAGCGCTCCCTCCTCCCAGCATGCCCCGGGCCGATGGCATGCTGGGGACAGGAGAAACCAAACCAGGAGGAGAAAGAGCATCTTGCATGCCATGCCGCCCTCCCGGCTCTCCCCACATGCGGCTGCAGGTTTCACTGGGGTGCGGTTTAAAGAGTCTCAGCGGAGGAAGCTGTTTGGCCTGCTGGGGACGGGAGTCAGTGTGTCGCCACCCCCAAGCCAGCTCCTTCCCGTTGCCCTCGCTGGCCTCGTCCTGGCCCTACGTCTTCCGCCAGCTGTGGGACCGTGCTATGCCCAGAGAGCACCCCCTTCCTGCCAGCAGCGCCAGGAGAGGCTTCCTTCTCTAGTGGCCTTGGCCTTGGACGGCGGCCTGGCTGAGCCACTCCTGTTCGAGTTCCCTGGGGCAGACAGACTTGCAGAGGGGGTCCCGCGTGCTCCTGAACAACGTCCTTGGTCTCACAAGCAAGCAGTGATGTGGCAGTTAGGACAGGCCCCTTGTTCCTCTCAGCAATCCGAGGAGGACGCTAAGGCAAGGCATCCGCTCAGGAGCCCTCTGCCACCTACAGACACCCTGCCAGACCCCCTGAGCTGCCACGTTCTTCCACACGCCACCGAGGCGCCCCTCTCTTACCACTCCCCTTCAGCTCTCATTCCTCTAGGTTTCTCACTCCTCCTTTCTACCCTCGAGCTCTTAAAACCCTTTCTGGCCAAACTATCCAGGAGCTGGAGGGCACGCGGAGGGAGGGATGACTAGGACCACGCCCGGCTACTTTCCACAGGGGAGGAGGACACTACTTTTACCAAAAGGAGGCTCTCTGTTCTCCAGCGAAGGGAAACCAGTGAAGATGTCTGCATTCTCTGGAGGACGGAGAGGTCCCTCTGGGGACATCTCCAGATTAAGGTGGAGTGGGGAGAGAGACAGAGTGTGAGAGAGTGTGTGTGTGTGTGTGTGTGGTTGTGTGTGCATACACACGTGACTGAGTGTGTGCATGTGTTGAACAGTGAGAGAGGTCAAATCAGCCTTCTGTATGAAGTAAGTCCTTCTACCTCCCCCCACCCCACAATGTGTCCTTTTTCCTTGTGTAACAGCTGCTGGTTCTGGGAGGGTTTGGACCTCTTTACACTCAAAGGAAAGCAACATGAAGGTTCCCTCATGTGGCGCAGTGGGGGTGGAGCAGACGGAGAGAAGGGTTCGAGGTGCACCCCACCGCCGGTCACGGCTGGGGACTGGGAGGCAAACCTTGCAAGCCACCCTGTAGGGGCAGTTCTCTCCCAGGCCCAGAGGCGGCGAGATCACCCGCACTAATTTGTACATATCCTTATACGGGATCCTGCCGCTGCAAAGGAAGCACAGGCGGGTTAATAGAGGACACTCAGCAAAGGGCGGGAAAGACATGACAGTTTAGCCATGACGCTGATGGCTGGAAGAGGAAGAACAGCTGTTTTTTTTCTTTCCTGGGACCAGGCATGAGCCAGACCAGGACAGACTGAGAACAGTAAGCATCAGAGAACCATCATCTTGCTGAACCGCACTGCCCCCGATTTTCTAAGGAAATCAGAGCCCATCCAGTGCCCAAAGGGTCTGCCGAATGGCCAAGAGCCCCTCCGAGACACCTTTCTGGCCCATGCTTAGCCAGATGCAGGAAACGGACAGTGGCTCGAGCCAGGCCTTGAAGAACACAGCTTGATGGTTCACAAAGGCCACTGACAGCTCTCAAGAGCAGATGCCAGGCTGCCAGGAAGTGGACTCCCCAACTGTGTGCTTTTCACAGACATTGATTACAGTTGGTTACTCAGACCCGCTTGTCAGGGGCAGTGGGAAGTCGGCATCTCTCTGCAGACAGAGAGAGACAAATTCCCCATTAGGCTAATTAGCAGGGAGCACAGTGAGCACAAGGGAATTTGCAAAGGGCTTTGCTTCGCGTGGTGGCAGATTATTCCCGCGTTCAGCCGGGGCAAGCTCTGCTCTCCTCAGTGGACGCCTGCCTGGATCTGTGCTCAGAGAGCAGCCTGGGAGGGGGCCGCGGACATCCTCCCTCCCGCTCTGCTCCTGCCAGCCAGCCCACAAGCAGGCAGCCTGGCTGGATGCAGCTAGAATTCCAGGGACAACATGACCTGTCTTACCACCCTTCTATCAAGGGTCTGCTAGGGAGTCCTGGCTTTGTGCAGGAAGGACAGAATCAACAGTGGATTCATTTTCAGTGGCTAAATCATCCACTCTGACAGAGACAAGACAAGGAAGCTACCTCCTGGGATGGAACATGGTTTCTACCTGAAACTACGAACCCACATGTCTACCTCTGAGCATTCCGTCCTTGCCAGCAGCCATGGGAGGCTCTGTCCCAGCTTTACTCTTTCTAGTCTTTTCTTGATGTTGCTGTTCATTCCTCCTCTTATTCTTAAGAGCAGCTCATCGGTACTTCAAGTCTCTTGATCCTTGAGACGAAGTTTTAGTTAACCATTTGCTTTGTTTCTTGAGACTGGGATGTGGGTGGGTTTATCCTGCCTATAAGCTGGTTTTCCCCGCGTCCTGTCTCAGTTGGCCAAGACATTGGCTCACGTTAGCTCTGTTAGTTCTCCCCCCGCCCACCCCCAAACTCAAGGAGATGGCCAGTGAACCAACCAGCCTGTTATGCTGTGAATTTCAAAGCAGAAGGGGTTCGCCTTTCTATTTTTGCTCTCTCATAGCTCTTAGATCTAAGTCTCATGATTTTTTTTTTTTTAAGTTCTCTTGGAATTCTTTCTTCCCAGAAGCTGGAATGAGTGGGGGAGGAGCATGTTTAATTCACAAGGCTTTTGGGTCCCAAGATAACATGAAATCACAGGAAACCGGGATTTCTGAGAGCCAAGGACACCTGAGTGAGGCTAGGCGAGCAATGAACTCTTCGACTAGCAGTTTTCCTCTCTCCGGAATGAAGACGTTCCTTCTCAGGCTCCCCATCTCATGGCCATCCACACTTTTCCAACCAATGTTTCATAATTTTTGGTTGCTTTCCCATATGGTTATTATCAGTTGTTACAAACATGATCTAACATAATCCACACGGCCACTCTTCGAGGCAGGCAGGGCGTCATCATCACCATTTTACAGATGAGGAGGCTTAGTGTAGTTACGTGACTTGTCCAAGGCCACAGGGCCGGTTCCATGCAGGCCCTGCCTACATTGCCTCTAACATACCACCAGTGGCTTTCTGAGCAGCCTATCTACCAGAAAGTAGACCCAGCAAATAAACACCATTGCTCAGCCATTGTAATAGGAATGGGTTTGGAGAACTCTGTGCCCTAAGTCACTAATAATTACTGAGGGGAAGAGAAATTCTGATTCACTCTTCCAACACTTGACCCAAGTTTAAGAGCCTTGCAGGAGGGTAGATTTTAGGAAGAGTCTCAGATTATGAAGGGGCTCCAGGTGGAAGCAACGTGGGCTGTTCCTGTGAAGGATGGCCTTTCCTGTAGTATTTTTAGAAGTGAACCAGAATGGGTAGATTGGTGAGATAAGATCCTAAAGCTAAAATGACACAGGACAGAAAAGTTCCTGTGGAGTAAGTGCTACCAGAGCAGTCACCCTGTCCTCAGCTTGAGGGGTCAAAATGCTGTCTTTGTGCAATAAAGTAGGGATCAACAATTTTTTTTTTCTATAAAGGGTCAGATAATATTTTTGATTGAGGGTCACACTGTCTTTTTCACAACTACACAACTCAGCCTCATAGTGTGAAAGCTGCCACAGACAATACATGAATGAATGGGTGTGGCTACATTCTAATAAAGCTTTATTTACAAAAACAGGCAGATGACCAAGTTTATCCCTGAAGCTGTAGCTTGCCAAACCCTACTCAAAAGCTCAGAAGGCATATCACAGGAGAAATACTGGACAGTGAAAGAAATCTGGGGAGGTTATTCAAGCAAATTCCTGCCATGTAATTCAATTCTGTGCAACAAAAATCCTCAAGTGTTTAAGGGATCAGTTGGAAGAATGACTTGCTCAGTTCTTAACATAATTTCAGAGTCATCTCAAACAGTATCTTTTTAGAGGGATGAGAGAGACAAAATGCTATTGTCACTGACCGCGATGGCCAGATGTTCAAGTGGCCCAGAAAACCATCATCAACACCCACCACCCTCCCTGCTCCGGGGACTCAAAAGAGTCCACTAACCATTGGCAGGGGAAAAAAAGAATAAGGTTACAGGAAGCCCCTCTGGCGACTGAAATCAACGATTCTGAAGTACAGATTGTGTGATGAGATTGGCAAAGAAAAGAAAAGCCTGTCACAGAAGGCATGGAAGGGGGAAGGAAGATAAAGAAGCTACGGTCTTGATGACTGGCCTAATATCAGAGCCAATCTGAGGGCCTGGGCTGTCCTACAGGCCATGACTGAGAGGAGTCTCCTCTCCTTCTGTAACAGGCAGGTCCAATTCCAACCCCTTCCTTGGGAATTCCAGAGGCCCTGGATATGGGCCCCACTGGGATGGCCGAGAGGCCTACGCACCATGCAGCTCTGTCATATTCTGCCCAGACGCGGACAAATTCGTCCAAGTGGTGAGGCCCTAAGATGGAGGAGTCCCGAGTCAGGTACTCAAAGTTGTCCATGATGACGGCCACGAACAGGTTGAGCATCTGGAAGGCAAGGGGGAGAAGAGAAGTTAGGGGAAACCTAGTGCAGGAAGACAGGCTTCAAGGCAAATCAAGAATTCAGAAGTCTGTGGGGCCAGAGCTCCTAACGAAAGCACTGCTGACCTTGCTGTTTACATTCTAATTTCCACACACTTCCTTGTGTGAGCCTCAGTACGTCACTCTTCAGGGCCAGTTTCTATTTGCAAAGAACTCCAAAAAAGTCACTTTATTATCTATTCAGTTAATCTAACTGATTTGCAGCAGAGGGGGCCACAACAGCGACAACATTCTCAAAGTCAAGGCCTGACACCAACCCTCCCTTCTAGCCTCCCCCGGCCCTGTCCCTTGCTCCACAAAAGGAGCCGTCAAGAGAACCGGTGAGGTGTCCTAGAGCTCACTGCAGGGCTTCCTGTGTGATGGCCTGCGGCTGTTCACGCCCTTCGGTCCCTGTCCTCTCGCTTACTTGTTCATTTGTTCATTTCAACATTTCTTGTGCACCCACCGCGTTGTAGAGATCCAGGCGTTAAGGATGGGAAATAAGAAAGCTGTTGTCCAGAGATACATGCCTGTGCCTCGCACGTTGCTTAAAACACAGCAAGCCTTCCCTAGGTATTGGTACTCGAATATTCTTAAAGACTTACTTAGTATTTAGCAGAGACTGTGATGTATCAGGAATATACAAATGCTATAAATCTTTTTAGGAGCCATGAAAGAAGCGTATGCAGGTTACACTGGGATCAGAAAGGAGTATGGATGTGAATTTCATGTAATCTCCAGTTCCTGAAATATCATCCATCTTTTGACTTTTTCCATAACCATTTAAGAATGTCAAACCCAGGGTGCCTGGGTGGCTCAGTGGGTTAAAGCCTCTGCCTTCAGCTCAGGTCGTGGTCCTGGGATCGAGCCCTGCGTCAGGCTCTCTGCTCTCTCTCTGCCTGCCTCTCTGCCTATTGTGATCTCTCTGTCAAATAAATTAATAAAATATTAAAAAAGAAAGAAAGAAAGAATGTAAAACTCACTGGTATAGCTCAGGGGCCATACAAAAAGTGGTGGCAAACCAGATTTGGCCCTTGGGCTATAGTTTGCCCATTTCTGGTCTAAATTATGAGGAAGCCACAGAACACACCAAAAGTGTTTATAGTAGGGGAGAGACCGAGGTCTGTTTCATCCAGAAAGAATCCTTGGCAGTGGTGCAGAGGGTGTCCAGGAGATCTGTGGGGAGAGTTCTGCGGTGCTCCTGGACCAACCCAGTGGGGACAGTTGAAAATCAAAGGACATGGAGGACATGGAATTGACAGAACTTGAGCACAGTGAGCACACTCTGCTGTTGCTCCTTGGCTGCCTGGCTCTTGTTTACTGTACATCTGGTCTCTTGAGGACCCCACTCTCTGCCTATTCCCAGTCAACAGGCTTCAGCGGGGCCGCACCTGTGACCCGGCCTCAGCCGCTGAATCCCATTCCCCTGGGCCATAGTGACTGGTGATCCAATCACGGCCAACAAAATGGTATTGGACCTTCTGGGCAATAGACTTGTTTTTCCCTGTCAGTCTTGAATGTGTGAGGACTGGGGTCTAGAACTGCTGCTACCACCATCTTGGAGCCACAGGTTGGGGTGTTTGAGGAAAGAGCTCTCACGGAGCAGCCTGGAGGAAGAGATCCATACGCAGAGAAAGAAACCTGCTTATGCCTGTGCTGCCCTAGGGTTTTTCATTTATATGTGCCTGTAAAACCCCTTTCTGCTTAGGCCAGGGGGAGCTGGGCCATCCGTCACTCATGAGGGAGAGAGTCCTGCCTGAGACACAACTGGCTGATGAGGTGAGAGAGGAGGTTTCCAGGTGGATGGAGGTCCCAGAGAAGCAGGCAGCCTAAGAGGTAAGGAGAAAGTCGGATGCCTGGGTGGCTCAGTCGGTTGAGTGTCTGCCTGGCTCAGGTCATGATCCCAGAGGCCCAGGATCAAGTCCTGCATCGGGCTCCCTGCTCAGCAGGGAGTCTGCTTCTCCCTCTGCCGCTCACCCCACTCTCATGCTTTCTCTCATTCTCTCTCACTCTCAAATAAATAAAAATCTCTTAAAAAAAAAAAAGATAAGGACAAAGTCTGTAGACAGGACGTGGCTGGAGTCACTCTCCATGAGTCTTTATGGAGAGACTGGCCACCTGCACCCTAACAACCCCTCTCGTCCCTGCCCGCCTGCCTCCATCCTGCTGCCTGGGATATACGTGGGTGCCTGGAGGTCTGGCTCCTGGAGGTGGGGTACAGGGCCCTCAACTCTCTGTGGAGCCACCCTAACACGCCTGTACTGCCTTCCCGCAGACCTCACCGGTGTGTGAGGGAAATAAACGCCTCTTGGTTAAGCTGCTGTTGTCTGGGGAGTTCTGTTCTGGGCCACTGAACCTAAGCCCAGCATGGGCCGGGCCTTTCTTTCTGTCACTGACATGAGAGCCACAGTGAACATGTTCCATCACTGCCTGGGTTATGAAGGGGTTTCCATATAGCCACACATGTATTTTACACTCCTTTCACAGTACTTATTACTAACATGAACAAAATCATTGTTTTACGTTCATCTAGTCTTTCAGAGTGGGGTGTGCACACTCAAGCCTATTATTTGTTTTAACGCTGCTCTAACTTCGTGAGGCAGACTTAATTACCATCGGCCCTTCGAGGACCCAAGTGCTTCCTTGACATCTCATGTACTCTCAGCTCCAGGCACATGGCCTGGCACATCATGGTGTACCAGTAAATCTTGCTGGAGCGGCTGGTTTGAGTAAAGAAACTGTGTGACTTGCCCAAGGTCACAAAGTCAATCTCCCATCGGGCTGAGATTCGAAAGCAGATCAGCTCAGGCTGAATATAGCGTCTTTAAAAATAACACGAATGTGAATTATGCAGCACCCTCTATCTCCAAATTCTCAAAGTACCTTTAGAGTCTCTAATGAATTTTCCAGTTATATCTTCAGTTTCTTTTTAAATATTTATCATTAAACACTTACATCATGGAGGACAAAACCGAAGTTTCCACATGCCCTTCTCGATGGTCCTCTGTGTCACCCGACAACAGCCCCATCAACAAACACTGACACACTTATGGGCCTTCCTCCCTTTGCCTCAGGTTGACAGAGAGACTGAAACCCACTCACAGCTTCACCCCCGTACCTCTAAGATGCTGTTCTGTGTTCTTTTCTTCTTCTCATTGAAAAACCTTTCACACCCACAAGAAGGGAGTGTATTAAAAACACATGTACCCGCTCACCATGCACATAATACCCTTATGATCAAGCCATTTTCCTTCCCATTTACAGAAGCTACAACAGGGAAAGTGTCTGACCATGCGAGGACAGCAGCAAAGCCAAGACCACAACAGCGCAGGCTACCTGAGCCTCCAGCAGGCTCGCTGCTTGCTAGGTGGACCGGCCCACTACCCTCAGAAGCCACACCAGAGAGCTTCTCCACACCAGACAGCTGGACACATGGCAAATCCCTCGCAGTCACCTCAGAGAGGCAGAAATGCCTGGACGGGACCTACTTCATCTGCTGACACACGGCTGTGAGGTTAACTGCTTCTCAGGGGCACCGCTTTAGTTTCAGACTTTTTTTTTTAAGATTTTTATTTATTTGGCACAGAGAGAGAGCACAAGTAGGCAGAGGGGCAGTCAGAGGCAGAAGTAGGCTCCCCGCTGAGCAGGGAGCACGACTCCCTGAATCCCCGGACCTGGGACCATGACCTGAGCCGAAGGCAGATGCTCAACTAACTGAGCCACCCAGGCGCCCCTAGTTTTGGATTCTGTTCAGCCGGCGACATGACCAGTGAAGCGAAGCCAAGGGATGTCAGGGTGGCTACAAACACCAGACTGACCCTTTAATGGATCTGGCAGGACCTCATCTAGGGTTACGCAGCATCGAGATTTTGGGAGTCCGGGTGCTGATTCACAGTTTCTCCCAAAGAACAGATTAAGAAGGCACCTAGGGCTTCTCACCATTTTATAAGGGGTGAGGTCACTCAATATTTACTACATAGGTCACTCAATATTTACTAATGCCCAAAGCGATCCTTTCACGTCTGTCAAGCTGGCCAACTGTCATCAAACATAATGACATAAGTCAAGAGACCGCATCTGTGACACTGTATTTAGTCACCACTCTATTAATCCTATCACTTCATATTTCCAAGGTACCTTTTCGTGACAGTTTGAAAGACTACAAAAGAGCACTAAGATATTCTTAGCTCTACTTGTAAGATAAAATACCTGAGGTACAGAGAAGAGAGATGTACTCTGGGTCACAACAGAGCCAACATGAAACTCAATACTCTATTTCCTAAACTCCATTCCACTCATCATTCTTTCTCACAGCAATCCTTCCCTAGAGGCAACAAAATCTGCTTGGTGGCAGCCATGGGAAGTCACTCACTGGGGAGTCCACTAGGCATCCTGGCCTTCAAGAGTTCCTTGGGGGATGGGATGAGGTGGGAGAGGGGAGGCGAAGGGACGGCCCGCCGCATCTCGAGCCAAGAGTGCAGGGTTTACTCACCAAGAAGGAGCAGAAGAAGATGAAGGAGACAAAGTAAACGTAGGCCAGATCTGTGCCACAGCGCTCATTCTCGTTCTGCCCCGAAGGCGCAGTGGTGTCTGGCTCGCAGCCTTTCTCCCCGAGGCATGACAGCATTATCTCCTGCCAGGCCTCGCCTGTGGCACTCCTGAGCCCCAAAGACATTTTGGTTAGTGGTAGCTGGTCTGCGTGTCTCATCTTCTCTTTGGCCCTCCTTCCCGACTCACCCATCCCTTCCTCTTCCCTGTATGGTTCCTCCGTCTAGTACTCTCCATCTGGAGATGGAACATGCCAAGGAGGTCTCTCTTGGGCTCTGCCATCCCACCCACTACTTCTCTGTTTTTTCAGAAGTGTTTGCTGACAGTGGTTGAGACCATGTTGGGACTAAGACCCCACACAAACCTGGTCATCCAGGGTTTCAGCCCTTAAATGGAATTCGATCTGGAGGAAACTGTCCTCACCTTCCCGGCTCAGAGTCCTGGCACACATGTTCTAAGCCTGCAGTCTACAAATTATCTACCAAGTCAGAGACACTGCGGAGACTTCCTGCTGTCATCGGAGCCGGTTTTTAGAGCCAGTGCCCCTCCCCACCTCTGCCTCTACTGTATGTCTTCATAGGAGCAGAGCAAGCAGAATAAAGAGACAAATAGGAGGAAAAGGCAGACGAACTCTGCCTCCCTCGACAAGAGAGCTGCTGCTACAACAGCTACGCATCCAGATACCTGAAGAGTAACATGAGGGACCCGAAGAAACTCCGGAAGTTGTTGTGTCGGTTGATGTGACTCTCCTCATCTAATTTTATGTTTCCAAACACCTTGAAAAGAAAACAACAACAACAAACAAAGAGCATTACTGGCTGTGTCATGCGCCCTGCACATGAATATTAGCCGCACCTGCCTCTACTAGGGTTGGCAAACGCATAAGCATGGCCCTTCTCAATGGCCTAATCCTGATGCAGATAGGATTAGACCCAGACAGGCTGGTGGACCCCATGCTCCCGGCCTGCTGTAAAGAAGTAATTATGTTCTCCACTGCAGCAAAGGGGGTCCAGGGCCATAGAAGGCGAGATCTTTTGGAAGTCACTCTGCCTGTAGGTAGTTCCTCCCACACCTAATTTGGTCTCTTTATTTCCATGGTACCTGTCACCAGGGTACTCAAGCAGTCTGTCAAAGACATACCCCATCACAGAAGTGCATGGAAGGAACTACCCCTCTCTCCCTGTCTCCGGTAGTAATGATGGAAGCATGCGTCTTTGCAGAAGATGTGATTTACGTCTTGGACAGATACTGTGCTAGAATTTGTAAGCTGTGTGGGTCAGAGAGAGGCATCTCAATCTTCCTTGGATATATTCCTATCCAGAATGTAAAACTGAGAAGGTCAGTACATCTATAATCTAGAGTCCACAAGAAAGAAGGCACACAAAGCCAAGTCCTGACCAAGAGGATGAAGGAAGTCAGGACAACCGGATACTTAGAAAAGGAGAAATAAGATGCACTTGTGTAAATCTGGCTATGGAACGAGTGTATAAATCTACTGTGGGTTGTTGAGCTCGGAATGTGGTCATTATGCAAATTCATGTAAAAAAAAAAAAAAAAGAGGGAAAACTCAGAGATATTTGTCCATAGCCAGTGAATGATGTTGAACTCTTAGAGCCTAAATATCTTCGGATGAGAAGGGCGCCCCTCCACGCACACTACCCAGCCCCAGCCATGTTTCAGGTTTCAGGATCTAGTCTCCCAAGTCAATGTTGCCATAACCAAAGGCTTACAGGTCACTTTCCCAGCCAGACTTTTGAGACTGTTTCCAGCCTATACATAACATGCTTCCGTTTATCTAATATATGCTAAATGGAACACATTCCCCCCCCCCCACTCCCTGAACAGTTTTGAGAATGTGCAATTGAGGAACAATCTCTGCCCCCAGCTATTTTGCTCAAATAACTCCCACTGACACCTGCTTTGGGAATTTGTTCTCAACACTGTTTTTCAAAACCCAAATACTACTTGTCTCTCAGGGAGAATGGAAGTGGCAAGCGAGGAAGCACCGGGGAAAAAGGGAAAGGAGGAAGATAAGAAGGTGCAGGGCCCACAAACAAGAAATAGTAGGACTGAAAAAGTCCCCCTTAAATTTAGTTCCCGGCACTCCAGGAGAACACTGTCCTACATCCTTGCCTATGTTCACATCCTGTCTCTCCTTTTCACCCTCTCGGCGTGCGCGCGCGTGTTTTCTACCTATGACAATCCTGAAGCCATCATTAATTGTTCTCATTATGATTTTCTCAAACACTTTATCCAGTCATCAACTAGTTGGAGGGCATGCTGGGATTTTGCATGAGGCATGTGTCTAACAGTCAAAGAAACTGAAGCTATTTTAAATCTACTCTAGTTTTCAAGCCAAAAATATATAAATGTATATTTATTGTGAAGGAAGTTTTTATTTTATTTTTTTTAGCTTTCAATTAACTCTTGTCCCAAACCAAATTTTTTACACCAAAAGGCTTGAAAGAGAAAGAAGGGACACCTAGACCCACCGGAAAACTGAATGGACGTATAACCTTGAATCTACTTTCACTTGGAATCACAAAACTTAGGCACATAAAAGGACCTGTGAAGATGTCCATCCAACTCCTGACCAAGTCTGCACAGCTGGTCAGTGGAGGAGCTGAGGCTGAAAGCCTCGCCTTCTAATGATCTGTGGCCCCAGGACTCTTTTCCATACCCAGCAAGTTACTCCTTCCTTCTATCTTCAGATCCCTCTGCAAAGCTCTCTCTTCTTCTAAGATGCATGTGAAAGTTCAGAATAATGGTTCTTCTTCTCATAGATTCATCCTGTTCCTATTTATCTTTCCAATATGGGTCTCCTGCCTTTATGCTTCTGTTTGGATGGATCCCTGTGCTTTGTTATGACTATACCAGATACAACTTCTCTAGTCACAAGCTAGGTGTCAGCAGTGTCCTTGGTGTGGGCTCTCTATCATGGACCAGGAGGAAGACGGCCATCTAAAGGCAAATCACAGTGGGATAGCCATTTGTGTCCCTGGGTAATGGAAATAGGGCTCTTATTTTTTGAAAAGAAGTCTAAGGGCAATAAAATATTAGACACTGCAGTTATTGTGAAGACCACAATTTCATGACGAACAACGCCCACATCCCACTAAAGGGTCAAAGAAATACTTGTATTTGCTTGTTGGTGGGAGGAGAGAACATGTAGTACAGTGAGAATATGGGCGTGCGGCAGACAGAGCTAAATTTAAATCTCGGCTCTCCCACTTACTGAGGCCTCGAACATGTTATAAGTTACTTAACGATGCTAAGCTTCAATGGAGTCAATGAAACCCACCCATAAACATTTTCACATCGCTCCTGAATACATTAGTCATGTATTGTGTGTGTGCTTGCAGATAGGGCGGAAGGATGGGGATAAGAGCACACGTTGAGGACGGTGTCTGGCATAGTCAGGCGTTCAAATGATGCTAAACAGTCTTATCATCATTATCAGCAACATCGAGAACAGTTTAGTACTGGAGATGGTGTTATTCTAGTTTATTATGATTGATGATGAAAAGGAGGTAAGAGCTATTTTAAGCATGGGCAAAAATTAAGTTTCTATTTGGCTGTTCAAGAACATTTAAATTCTAGAATCAATTGTTTGAGAATTAGAAGGGCCTTAACAGACATCATCAAGCCGATCAGCAATTTCAGTAGGGGATTCCATTGCCCTGACGCTGTCATGACATCTTTACTGAATTATCCTCATTGAAGGAGAACTCACTACTTCTCAACCAAGTCTCACACTTTTTGACATTTGACATTCTGCTCCTTTTGGAGGACAAAAATCTCTCCAGGAATGGGGTTAGAAGATGGATAACAGGGGCGCCTGGGTGGCTCAGTGGGTTAAAGCCTCTGCCTTAAGCTCGGGTCATTATCCCAGGGTCCTGGGATCGAGCCCCACATCAGGCTCTCTGCTCGGCAGGGAGCCTGCTTCCTCCTCTCTCTGCCTCTCTATCTACTTGTGATCTCTCTCTCTCTGTCAAATAAATAAATAAAATATTAAAAAAAAAAGAAGAAGATGGATAACATTAAGAAGTGCCCGCAAGAAAGAAGAGTAAAAAGAAGAGACATTTCAGAGATGTTCTAGAAAAAGGCTGCAGACACGGCGAGCCTGGGAGATATGTGCAGTGGCCCCAGATGGCAGGTACTGTTGAGAAGATAGCTGGCAGTCCAAAGGCGGCCAGACTGGCTGACTACAGGAGACTGCCACTTGGCTGAATTTCCATGCCGGGGTTTAGTCTCGACATCTCCAAGTCAGAAAATTCGCCTCCCCTAGACAGGCAGGAAATCCAGTGTGTCTAACTGGATCGATTCCTGGGATGGGCTGCTGGCTGTTTATGGGAGTCCATCGGCCACAAATGATAGTCACTTTAGAAAGAAACTATGGCCTCTTCTGCTCAGTGGGCCTCTGGCGACCTGAATAAATGTCTACGATGAGAACTTGATCCACTTCTCAACTCTGAAACTGGAAAGGATGTGGTAACCCAAGAGACTGTCCAGGAAGCTGCCTGGCCCTTGGATAGGCATCTGCAGGCACACGGCCCTTGGGCGTCCCTAGGATTAGGCCAGCTACTAGGAACCACCTGACTTTCTTTTAGGTCCAGCTCAAAAATGGGAGATCCTGAGACAAGGAGCATGGTGAGCCTCGCCTTCAATCTATTATGCTCAGGCCAATAAGCCAGTGACGATCTGGGCAATACCTGTCCCCCACCAGGCCCCTGATACATGAGCTCACCTGCATCCCAATGATGGCATAGATGAAGAAAAGCATGGCAATCAAAAGGCAGACGTAGGGGAGGGCCTGGAAGGAAAGCAGAGACAGGACCATAAATTCAGAGGCAGACAGCTAGCTCCCAGGCTCCACAATTTATAGTCACCAGCACTACTAGAATTCTTGCCCTGAGGCTGATTTAAATGAGGTGGTTGGGGCTGGGACTCTCTATTCCCCCGGGGCTGTGCTCTTGCAGAATGCCATACTTTTGCTGAGGGTCATGTCCTCTGGCAGGTAAGCTGTTGTCTAAAGAGAGGCCTGTCATTTACCTTCCGTCAAGGATACTCATACTCACTCAACCAGAAGTGTGGCCCAGATCTCCCAGGAGAGCTGGGGAAACCTCCTGGGCTTACCATGCATCCCACTTTGCATTGCAGAATATTAATAATGTGGGTAATGGTGATGTAAACTACACAGTAAGTGCCTAGCTTCAGCTCCCAAATCCCTGTATTACCCATTCCCATCCTTCACTCAATGCCAAGCCCATAACGGAGAATCTGGGAGCAAAGTGAACAGGCTGAGAATCTCAGTTGTTCATCGTGTCCTAGAAGGTACCTTCTGAGGAGACCTCTCTTTCCAGTGTTTAAGCCTCCTGACACTTCATTATGTGTCATGCGAAACTCCAAAAAGCCTTTCAAAGATCATCCACTGCAACACCCTGCCGTGAAGCCACGTGGCACAAAATCCATACAGTGCAAGCTGACTGCCCCTCTGGGATGATAACATTTCAGTAAGGTGGACAATGGGGCAAGCGAAGGAGATGGAAGGTAGGGAACTGCCCTCTGGCTGGTGGGGGATGTAAGGCAATTTGGTTTTAGGGTTAGGGTGCGTTCTACAATTCTGGAGCGAGCTCAGTGTGGACACGGAATTCCGCCTCTTTCCTTTTCCACCCACTCAGCTCCCTGGAAGATGGTGCAACTATGAGCCTCCACTTTATCTACTGTGTGCAGCACGAATCCCACGAGATCGATTGAAGGCTTTCAGACTGCAAGGGCAGGGCTTATCAACAGAGCCAGCTAAATGAAGAGCCTTGGGAGACTCTTACAACTTGAAAAAAGGATAAAATTAAAATGCAACTGAGAGTTGCTAGGAGAATCCCCTCCCCAGTAAAGTGCTGACTCCCAAGGTCTACAAAGAGAAAAGTCTGCATTTCAAGGGGCCATGTGAAGACTCCGTCTGATAGTAGAAGAGAGAAGGGAGATAGTTTTCTTACAGCTCGAGGTGCTGCTACCTTCTCCAACCTTCTGCTTACTTCCTGCCCTTATTCCATGTCCCCACTCCCTAGCTCATCTCTCCCGAACCCCAGTTTTTGGAAAAAGATCAAAGGTACATTCTGCTCACCTCTCTTATCATGCTATAAATTCTAACTCAGGAAAGGAAAAATGGGGAAGAATGAAGTAGGGGTCTGTGGTGGAGAACTGGGGGCTATGCTCATGGCAGGTTGGGGGGGCGGGGGTAGCTTGGGTAGGCCATGGCAGTGCCCTTTATACTCTGTGGCTCCCTGCTGTGTATTTACAGAGGCAGCCTTTGTAAAGCCGACTGTAAGAAAACAATTTCTCTACTGAGTCCTGGGACTGTTTCAAAAAGGAAACACCTCTCCATCAGTGTCACCTGGAGGCAGATGCACCCTGTCTCCACTGTTCTATATTCACTGCAATGAGCCAACCACTCTGCCATCAACTTTTGACATGCTTTTCTTTGCCCTCAACAGTATGCAGTTTTACAGAGAACTGGTGAGCATAATAATGTGACAGGCTGACATGTATTTCTTGAGAAGACTAACTGTAACTTGTTTGGAAGGTCTCAAGCAAAAAGGTTTTAGAAGTACCTTGTGTATCAGACTTTAAATCCAAATTCACCTGAGACTCGGTAAATTCTTACTAAGGTTTTAGATTTCTCTTCTGTCATGTAACTTTGGCAAAGTTCTTTTCATTGAGGTGAGGCCTCTGTAGGAGTTAGGTCACCAAACAATGACTCTGGATACAACCTTGACAATAAAAACGTTGTTGGCAGGAGTTCTGAACATCCTTACGACACCTAGTCTCACCAATCAAACCCACAGGACCTCAATGGAGAATAAGTCATTAATGACGGTGTGCAGTGAACACTTTCCCAAATGATGAGAAACCACTGAAGTTACTGGCTGACCCTCTCAGATTCAATTAAAATACATAAATAATTAAAATAGAGGTGGCAATGGGTAAATTCATGATTTCTCAGCTTTGAGTCAATGTCATCAAATTTATTTTTAAAACACATTCACTGAAAAGCTTTTTTTTTTAGTAAGAGGAAAAATAGTGGGCATTTGAACAGCACTTAGACCCCAAAACTCCAAAAACAAACCGTGGTAACTGCTAAAGCCTGAAGACACTGAAATATGTTTGGAAAATTTCTTTTGCAGGAAGTCTCTGCCATTAAAGTCGATCTCAGGTAGCTTTTAAACTTCTATTTCTTACCAATACACCTCTGTATGGCCCCATGAGACCATTCAAAGAAGCTCATCACATTAGCCTGGCCCAAATATCCTATTAGACCGTAGGACACAGAGGTGACCATGAACACGCTGCACATTTGGTGGTTGAGGAAACACACTGACAAAGACAGGGATGGGACTGTATGACTCATCTTGCAATCAAACACCGCCCAAGGAGTCCTTTGAAAAACCGTTCATGTGAAATCAAGCCACTGGCAAGTACGTGAAAATGCAGAAGCTGGCTCCTGACAAGATGGGACTGCTTGGGGCTTTTTGGACTATCTAGAGAGGTAGCACACCTCCTCGGACAAGCCCCAGCCTCTGTGAAGAGAAGACAAGGGAGTTACAAAGTGGTGGTGTTTTTCTAGAATGAGATTCTATCCAGTTGGGCACGAGCTGCCTGGCTGAGCTGCACTGGAAGGGAGAACTGCTGCTTTCATCGAATGTATCTGACAAACACTCATTCCTGGAGGTCAAGGGACCTGGGTGATCATTCCTGGAGGTCAAGGGACCTGGGTGATGACAGCGTGGGGCCAGGCGGTACTCCATCCAAAAGACAGAGAGGAAGAGCGGCTGCACTTACCTTAAAGGACTGCACGAAGGTCCAGAGTAAAATACGGATGGTGTAGCCCTGCCGGAGAAGCTTGATGAGGCGGGCGGCTCGGAAGAGCTTCAGAAAGCTCATGTTGAAGCCACTGGTGTTCACCAGCTGGTGGACCAAAAGGAACCCCATAACTAGTGACATTATGATCATTTAGAAAACACTAAGCACTAGTATTTACATATTTATCCCTCATTCTGATACAAAATTTGACATGGATTCTGTCTTTTGTTTTCAATCCCATTTCCAAATGATGAGCCAGCGAGGACCCTCTCCCGAGCCTTCCCAGGCCTGGCTAAGGTGCGGCTCGTACCCCCAGAAGAGTGTCCTGTGTGTATCAGACGAAAGCAGCCTCTCTAGTCTTCCAAGGGTCTCTAGGGCTCCTGACTGCACTTGGATACCAGCAAGGCAAGTGAGTAATCCCTCTAGCACATATGATGCCCGTGCACACATCCGATGAGAGTTACAATGAGCTCTCCAAGTCATCTTTAGAATAAACAATTTTAGGGAAACAATTCAGATAAAACAACTTTGAGGGCAATGATACTATGCCTCTTTTGTCATTCCCAAAGAATCTAGCAGAACGCTGTGCACACGAGCCCTCTTCTGGTCCTATTGCACTGACCCCATCAGGTGGCTGCTGTTGAGTCAAGCAAATGAAACAAAACCTCCCACGAGACCCAGTGCCACTCCAGTGTTTGCAGCTCGGGAATGAGGAAATGAACTCCCAGCTCTTAGAGGGCTATGCATTTGGTTTGATGAGTTAAAAATGGACTGTATGCAAGTATGGGCACACACCCACTGTAACTGGGTGCCTTAGTCGGTTGAACGTCTGCCTTTGGCTCAGATCATGATCTCAGGGTCCTGGGATCAAGCCCTGTGTCAGGCTCCCTGCTCCAAGGGGAGTCTGCTTCTCCTCCTGCCTCTGCCTTTCTCCCTGCTCATGCTCTCTCTTTCAAACAAACAAACAAACAAACAAGTAAATCTTTTTAAAACAATGGACAGCATACATAGAGGATTCTTTTATGCTACTTCAGAGCCAAGCTTAAAGACAAGGATGTACAAGCCACTCACCTTGCTGTCTGTCAGAATGATTTCTGTGATACTGCCAATCACAGTGATGAAGTCAAAGATATTCCAGGTGTCTCGGAAATAGTTCTGGCGTGTGAATTCAGTCATGAGAGCACCAGAAAAAAAAGAGGAAAAGAAAAAGGAATGGAGAAAAGACATCTTTCATTACATCAGTTGTCACTTGGAATTAAAACTCACCAATTCACATACAAGGTCATTCTAATTTTGGTTTTAGTTTCTTATTTCTAACTGGAAATGCTATTTCTTTACTGATTTGGGAATTTCTCATTTGGGAAGCAGATTTCTCACTACTTGAAGACCTTGTTTTTGAAGCTGTCACTAAAAAGCTACATAAAAAACTATGTAAGAAATAGATTTGGGGCCAAGCACATTATAAAGTCCCAAAAAGGAAGGATCATCATTGCCACTTATAAGGCAATAAAGTTATTTACAATATTACTCTAAGGTTTTCTACAACTTTTAAATTGTTTATATTATATCAAGTGACCCTATAAACACACACTTCTGACTTTCAACTATTAATAAAATTCACAGAGACGTCTTAAGTCATTAAAGGCCAAAAGATGTGCCAAAAATCTTCTCCTAACTCCACAGGGCAACAGGACGAATAGACTTCATCCTTCCCTTCTTTCTCAGCTCTGTTACACCTTTCGAGTAATAAAATGAGTGGGTCGAAGGAGATGGAGGAGAAATAAAGGACCTGGAAAATCCACCAACCATGTAACACTCTGCTTAACAGAGAGAGTAGGTAGGCTCTGCACCCATCTCCAGCACTCAGGTGAACACAAACCTTGGACTATATTCCTTAAAAGAAACAGTATACTTGAGTTTCCAAAGTCATTGGCTTGTCCTTGGGCAGTACCTTCCATAGAAGACCATCAAAGCACGGCTGAAGCCAATCCCCAGCAACCGTCACAATGAGCATTAGTGACTTTTAGAGTATGTGCCAGATGAGGGCTTAGGCCCTTGGAGTTCTTTCGGTTTGCTTCTCCCAGGGACACTATGGGTAGGTCATGATCAATATCCTCAACACGCTACATCCATAAAATACCCGGTGGCAGGGTTGGCAAGAAGAGTGGGCAGAGACGTGCAAACAGTGAGAGCAAAAGGGTGCGGTGAGAGGAAAGCTTTCTTTCTTTCTTTCCTTCTTTCTTTTTGAGAGTGTGGGTGTGGAGGGCTGGTGGAGGCAGAGGAAGAGGGAGGGAGAGAATCTCAAGCAGACTGCCTGCTGGGCATGGAGCCCCACAGAGGGCTCAATCCCAGGACCCCGAGATCATGACCTGAGCCAAAATCAAAGTCAGACGCTTCACCAACTGAGCGGCCCAGATGCCCCACAAAGTTATTTTTAATGAGCACCTACTCAGGACTACAGGTGTAGATGCCTTGGGTACAATAAAGTACCTAAGGCCTTAAGATAGCTATTGTGATCCTCATTTTGAATGACAAAACTAAGGCTTAGAGAGGCTTGTGTGATTCCAAAACCAGGGACACCTGCTGGGCGTGTAGAGAAACAGGGCACACAGCCTCAGAAACTCACTTTTCCATGAAGAATGCCTACTTCCTCAGGAGTAGAACCAAGTCGAGTCTCTGAGTTCCTCAGTTCTCAGGGCTCTCCTAGTCCCAACCTGGGCCAAGCTTCTTAATTCTCGGATGGGCCCCCATACAGTAGAGAGAACATGAATCTAGGTCTCAGAGGAGAGGAGCTCTGGATTCCAGTGGAAGGGCGATTATGACAAAATGTGGCTTAGAACAGCACCGTGTATGTAGACCAGTAGAGCAGTGTGGACAGACAGTGGGTTTCAAGTCAGATTAGACCAGGATCTGAACGCTGGCTCTGCCTTTTAGTAAGCTTGGGTCAACTACTTAATCTTCTTGAGTCCTAGCCCATCCAGAAAAGAAACTGATAACGCCTATCTAAGTAGAGCTGTTATGAAGCTAAAATGAGTGAGATATGAAGACTTCTGTACTTAATATGGCAACCCATGTTCATTCTCTCCCTCTTTTTCCTTCTTCCTTTTTTTATCCCCATCCCATTTTCCATTTCTACTGCCTTTTACTGTGTCGTCTTTAAAAAGCTGCCCAATTTTTCTGAACATCAAGTTCCTCATTCAAATTAACAATGTCAACAATGTTAATGATGGCATCTGCCATGTGTATTTCAGAGTATTTGACAAGATCTAACAAAATAGTATATGTTGGGATATTCTGAAAACCTAGAGTACTATAGCAACGTAAAGTTTAATTGGGAGTAGTGGTGTCTTTGATCATGTGAAAGTGCCTCTAGATCTTGAATGAAAATATGAAGGTGAGAGTGGGAAGGAGGCAGGCTTTGGGACCAAGTCTGGCTAAGCTTGTCAGTATGTATTCAGCGTTCACCATAATTAGTGCACAGTTGGGGACTTAAGTCAACAGACAATGTCAACAGCATATGTAAGTAATCACGATGCACAGAAAACCTTTCCCTGTTGTGGCACCAGCCTGTCCCTCACTCTGCTCACCCTGCTCAGGGCTAGGCTGGGTTGTAAAGGCATCTTTGTTGGTGGTAGTTTCTTTTTACTCTTTTATTTCCCCAAGTCTCAAAATGCTCAAAGGGGAGTCAAGCAAGCAACAATAGAGCCACCTGCAATGGGTTCCCTTCAACTCCCCTCCCTAAACCATCAAGTTAATGACTTTTCAAAGAGTCATTAGGAGACCAAAAGCAACCGCCACAGTCAACACTCAGCAATTATCAAGCCCAGCCCAGAGGCCCCGCTAAAGCTGCTATCAGACAAACCCTTATTCGGATAATAAGCAAGGTTTCTCTTCTTGCAGGGAAAGCCACACACACACACATACACACACCATATTTGAAATGGTAGCTCACACACTGAATAAGTGTGAAACAGCTGTCAAGTGGGTTTATCCGCATCCCACTGATCTCACTGTAAACGCTTAAACAAGGAGGGGGGTGGCAGAGAGAACTATTGTGTTTATAGGACACCTAAGCAAAGGGCTAGGTTTGCTTAACACTGCTGAGAGGAGTTGCATGAATGTGCAAGCGATTGTAATTAATAGTTGAAGAGAAGGAAAATACTCATAAAAGAAAAACTCGGTCCAACCCTCCACAAACCTAATTCCAGCATACCTACCTACCTGCCAATTTACCTTTATCTCCCTCTCCCTCTCTCTTTCTCTCTCTCTCTCCCTCCCTCCCCCCCCCACACACACTTTAATGGTCATGAACCTTTGTAAGCATAAGTAAAAAACATTTTTGTTAGCAGAAACTGTGCTTCATATAACTAATGGGAGAGGATGATTAGGTAAAATCTAGTATCTGCTCTGTTTAAGGGTAAGAGGGACAGACATGTTCCCATCTGAATCATAAAATCTTATACCTTTTACCAGTCAATAAACATTCAAGGCTTATTAGTCCAATCTTTGTTTTGCTCTTTATCTACAAATAAATTGCAGTTCTCATAAGAATTCTGTCACCCGTCGGCCACTGACAGAACCTGCCAAGACCAGAGCCAACGGCTGCATGAGTATGGAGCTGGGGATCTGGTCTCCTTTCCCCTTTCTCCTAATACCCTCAAGCATCCTCTTGTCTCTCGGGCAGTTTATTGAGCAGTTGAAACAGGCCCACAATTAGGTCAGGTATGTGAACTGTTTCTGGAAGAGTTGGAACCACCCCCCTTCCCACAAAGGGCAGGAGTGCCTCCAGAAGGAAGGGAAGACAAGTGCGATGCTGGGGCACAGGCCACGCCATACCAAGAAGCCGAATGCGATGACTTTTAGGACACACTCCAGGGAGAACACCATGGTGAAGGCAATATTCAGGTACTTCAGGGCCAGTTCGTAGGTACAGGGAGCAGAGTAGTACTGCCAAGAAGAGAAAAAAGGAGAAAAAGAATCAAACCCTTAAGGTGAGGGGGGGTATGTCATGTCACCGATGCTGGCCATCTCTCAACCCTGCCCTTGCGGGCCACTCTGGCATGTGGTGCAGGAGGCGCGGCACACGTGCTGGAGAGGAGGGCCATGTAGCCCATAGAGCAGAATAGGGCAACATGGAGAAAACCATGGACCACACCCTACAATGGCTACTTATTAGCAAACATAGCCAGCCTTCCTAGAGATGAAGGTGGGTAGGACAGAAACATTTTCAGGAACCAATCACCATTGATTATTAAATAAGATCACACCTCTTCCAACACTTGGAACGTTCCCTTAGAACCCCACAATCATGTGGATCTCCAGACATTCCCACTCTGGTCTGAATCTGACGGCCATCAGCACCTGAGGCCCCAGGTGCTACTGGGCCGTTACTCTAGGGCTCACTCCTTCATGGAGGGTGCTGAATGGGACAAGATCAGAAAGAGATTCCAAAGTGGAGAAGAATGGAAGGAAGCAAGCATCTTCCCCATGTCTCAAGCCCTGGGAGGGACTGGGCTCTAAGGCCCTGTCTGCTGAGTACCTCCCGGCCACCACCCACTCACCTTCATCATCAGCACGACGGTGTTCAGGGCGATCATGGCCATGATGGTGTACTCAAAGGATGGGGACACCACGAAGTGCCAGACGCGGTACTGGAATGTATGCCTGTTCTGTGGCATGTAGCGGGTGAGAGGTTTGGCGCTGATGGCAAAGTCGATGCATGCCCTCTGAAGGAAAGTCACAGCTATTAGCCCTAGCTCAAGTTCCCTCAACCTCGCCCATCAGTGGTCTCTCTGTTAGGTGGCTAGAAGAACGGGACAGTGCAGGGAAACCAGGGTCGGACTGGACAAGCGAAGGGGGAAAAGGGCAGCAGGGATTAGGGGGACAAAGTGCAGGTGTGTGGTCCCTTTAAATGAGTACACAGACCTGGGCTCTCACATGGGATGTGGATTTCATGGTGATCAGTCATGTCCTTCACACAGCCTGCGGCCAACACGAGCAGGCAGGAAGCCTTACCCGACGCCCTCAGTCGGAAGTAAAACTATCTCCCAATGCATTCCCATAGCGCTTTATTTGCTCTTTTCTCATAGTCTCAAACAGTTTCTGTTCCATTCCATTACAAAAATAATGAACCCTGCAATATGCCAGCACTATGTTTGTTCCTAGAAAAGCTGCACTAAGGAAGCCATATCCCTTATCCTTATAGCAAATACAAGCCACAGAGGGACATAGACTCATAAGCAAATGTCTTAATGTTGGAATTTTGGCACACATACTTTACTGCCACTTCTAGACTATTCACTGCACAAAGGCAGGGACTACACCTTAATCCTACCAGCTCTCTGTGCCTCATGCTTAGGTCTTAAAAGAGCAGATGTTCAAAAAATATTTATTTAATGACTGAATAATTAACTTTTCCCACCTTGCCATTTTCAATAAAGTTTTATTAAATGAAGTTTAATAAAGTTAAGAAAGTCTTCCTTCCTACCACTGTGATTCCAAGCAGCCTTTCTGGGACCCCAGAATTGCCATGCTCTAGGCCATATGTTTTTACCTCGTTCTTCTCCAGGCTGCACTCCTCCATCATCTTGTCCCCTTGCTCCTGGAAGGTGATGATGATGAGAGCCACAAAGATGTTGACAAAGAAGAAAGGGAAGACCACGAAGTAGACCACGTAAAAGATGGACATCTCCATGCGGTTGCTGCGGCTTGGTCCTCGGTCTTCCTCTGTCACGTCAACAGAATGCTGTAGGACTCTATAGGGACAGAGTGATGGGATATGGATGGTGGATGGCAGTGGCTTGTTAGGAGATGTGCCCCCTATTATATTTTCTTATGTAGCTTCCCTGGCTTTGAGGATCTACCATAATTTTTAGGGTCCAAAACCAAGCTGGTAAAGAACCACTGAGCCCCAATCCACAGCCCTTGCTAAGTCCTGTCCCAATAGCATCCATTGTTAAGAAACCAAGTTACATTATTATCTTAGGTCATCATATTCAATATCAAGAGACTCCTGGATGTCTATTTGGCATTTTACCAACTACAGCATGCTGCCACCAGAAACTGAGGTCTTAATAATTGCCAGGTCTAAATCAGCCATCAGCAGCCTTCTAGGGGCACCTGGGCGGCTCAGTCAGTTAAGCATGAGACACCTCATTTCAACTCAGGTCATAATCTCAGGGTTGTGAGTCACTGGGCTTTGTGCCGGGCATGGAGCCTGGTTGAGAGTCTCTCTCTCCCTCTCCTTTTGCCCTTCCCCTACCCCACTCACACCCTCTTTCTCAAAAAGAAAGAAAGAAAGAAAGAAAGAAAGAAAGAGAGAAGAAAAAAAAAACTATATTGTAATCTTCTTCATAAGAGGTATGATCACAGAAAGTGTCTCTGAGTTCTTCCAGCTCATTCTTTTTCTTTTTTTTAAGTAGACCCCATACCTATCATGGAACCCAATGTGGGACTTGAACTCATGACCCTGAAATCAAGAACTGAGTTGAAATTAAGAGTCAGATGCTTAACAAACTGAACCACCCAGGCGCCCCTCTTCCAGCTCATTCTTAACCCTCAGTCCTCAGGTGGAGGGCCAATATGGAGGATAAATGTGTCTAAAAGAGTCTCCAGAGACTGAAACAATAAAAATTTCAAATATTTCTTTGTATTCTCCTTCTTGATTTTTGCCTTAAGGCTTTTCATTCCTCTTCTCTTCCGCCTGTCTCACCCCTCATAACCACTTACTTTCTGGTAGAATAACAAAAGGGTTAGCCCTGTTCACCTTGAATAAGCTTCTCCAGGCAACCATGTATCCCATCCCAGCTCACACATAAGTATGCCAACTCAAACCCATCACTCACTGAGGCCATCCTTCTCCTGTGGAGACGGTGAAGAGGGTCAGCAGGGCCCAGATAATGTTGTCATAGTGGAATTCATGGCGTTTCCATTCCCGGCCTTTCACCTCCATCTTGTTTTTTTCATGATCTACATAGTTGCCTCTAAAAGTAGAGTACAGATGAAATAGGGCCTCTTCACTATAGCTCGTGGGAGAGTAAGGAAATTCTAGAAACTTCAATAATGCAGCTGAGTAATAATCAGGGTACAAATGCAAGGAAGAAAGCAGAGTCTTATCAAAGGCAGTCTATGATTGTGGAATAAAAGTTGTATTTGGTGACTAGTAGAAATGGAAGATTAAATCCTAATCCTTTTACTAGGCATAGTGTGTAACCTCGAGCAATTTAAACTTTCTGAGCCTCAACTTCCACAGCTAGAACATGAATATGAAACCTATATCAAAAGGTCATTGTAAAGATTTAAAATGAAAAACTGGGTATAAAATGCCAAGTGCCATGATTGACACAAAAGAGGTGCTCAATAAAAGTATAACAATTTCCTGTCTTGCCTTTTTCCTAAAAGAAGAAAAGAGAGACAGGTAAGAGAGAAAGAGAAGACCTATTGGTTGCCCAAGCAGGCATTGCCGGAATACTCGTACGCAGAAGGTGAGCAGAACATTATGGTTGCACTTACATGCACTCCTTCTCTGTGTCTTTGGAACTGTCTGTGCAATAAAAGAATTTTCCCTTGAAGAGCTGAACCGCAATGACAGCAAAGATGAACATGAAGAGCTTGTAGACAATGAGGATGTTGAAGACGTTCTTTAAGGAGGTTACCACACAGTCAAAGACAGCCTGCAAAGAGAAGTCCAGAGCCCTGTAAGTCCCCAGAACAGCCTGTGCATTTGCCTAGAGCTGAGTCAGAGCCACATCACCACCAGCCAGCCCTGCTGAGAAAGTGCCCTAGAGACATCCCCTTACTAAGAAGTGACACTCATGGGATTCAGAGCTGGCTTCCAAGCTGGTCATGACTGCAAGGACCTACCACCTGGAAGGGCACACGGGCTCCGAATCTGAAAGCAAACCCAAAATGGCAGAAACCAAATGGCAGCAGGCAAAGAGGGAGTCCTTTGTGGACTCCCAACAGGTGTACTCCAGTTAGGAGGAGGCACAGAAATGTATTGCAGAAAGGGATCAAATGGCTTGTCCCTAACCTGACATCTATTTTGGTGACATTCTTAGACTCGGTTTATATACTGAATATGCGTTGTTTTCTCTTTACCTTCCTAAATGGATCAGAGAGTGCAGTAAATTACCACCTATTATTTAATGATATATTGAATAAATTCCTACATTTGCTCCAAATATGTTCAACACTTCATGTAAATGTTCTTAGCTTAAAGCAGGCTGTATTGGGGATGAAGATTCAACAGGTGGTGTGGGTGGGGATGGAAAGCTATCTTTTCATAAGGCAGGGGGGACCGTTACAGGCCATGGGTGTCCCTGTGCAGAATCCCGAAGGGTTACACAGGAATTCAACATATTTCAAGCCATTTTTAGGTTACTTTCTAGGTTTTTAGGTTTAGCTCACTGGAGTCTCACCCCATAGCAGCACTGCATTTGTGCCCTTGCCGCATTCGTGCACTTGCTTCTTCACAGCGCTGGGTGGATGTTGCTGGTTTAATTAGTTCAGCACTGTAGGGAATGTGAGCAGCATGCAGCCTTATGGAATCATCAGAGCCACCTACACTTCCCTCAGGTTATGGAGCTGCAGAGAGACTGAGAAGCCAGCACTTCCTAATTAAATGGAATTAACCAAGGGCGGGGTTGCACACTCCATCCTGTGAGCTAATCGCACCATGCTGTCTGCGCTTCCTTAGGACTCCGACAAAGCTCAAAAAACAGGAGACCCCAGGAGCATGGGCTGCAGCTAACAATAGTGCTTAGGGCCCCAGACCCCAGCAGAAAGGAGTATTTATGGGCATGGACAAGACCTGGCACTATGATGGGTCTATTACCTGGAAGAGAGTTGTAAGGAAGAGTGTGTGTGTGCGCGCGTGTGTGTGTGTGTGTGTGTGTGTGTGTGTGTGTGTGTATGTATGTATGTATGTATGTATGTATCCTAGAGACCAGGCTCAGCCCAGTGCTGTGGCTCATGTGGCCTGGGCAGCAGTGAGCAGACCTCAGGGCTGTGAACCAGGAGTCCTGGTCCCTCCCTCATGGTGGTGAGCTCTCACTCAGGGATGCAGGAGGAAGAACTTTCCCCCATGAACCCAGCAATCACAATTTATGTGTGTGTGTTGGGGGGAGGGGAAGAAGTGTTCAGTATATTAGCAAACTGGACTTGAATGTTAAGCACACCTTGAGGGCAGAAAGGAGTCCCAAGAGGATGGAACAGGGAGGGCATGGGCTGGAAAAGAGGAGAACCAAGGTAATGCAGCTAGGAAACTTCCTGGCAACAGGAAGCACTCGATTCATGTTAACTCCATTCCCCATTCTCTGCCTCTGCCAAAAATGACTATTCTTGAGCAAGTTAACTGACTAATCTGTGCCTTAAAAATATGAAGGGTCGGGGAAAGAAAATCCTTTCCTTGTGTAGAATTATGAGGGAAGAAAGCATCCCAGTTTACTCGGCATGCTCTGGCATGCAGCCCAAAACATACGGGCCCCCCCCCCCCCGCCACTTCTGTTTTGGTGTTCCGAGTGCACCTTAATGACATGGGGTTCTTTCTGGATGACATGCCACAGGCAGAGTATATATAAAATACCACCTGGGGCTGGACTCAAGAGCCCCAACCCCCCCTCTGGATTTCTTGGCCCACTGGTTATTTTTCTTTGAAACGAAGACCTTCAACTCAGGCATTTGAAAGAACCCCAGTCTCTGTGTAAGCAAAAGGAATATTCCCAGAAATGATCCTCCAAGAGCAGGCTGACCATGGCTAAAGACAAGACGGGAGAAGAGGCCTCGGGAAACATTACCTTGAGCTTGGGCAAGCGCTTGATGGTCTTCAATGGCCTCAGAACTCGGAGGACCCTCAGAGATTTGATGGTCTTGATGTCTCGCCCCTTGTTTGTTCTGCAGCGGGGAGGCCCCCAGGGGTCAGAGGACAGGGGGAGAAATGAAAGTGGCATTCGCATGACTGCATTAACAACAGGGTGAAAGGGGAGACACTTGGGCAAGAGACCAGAAATGGGGTCCGAATGGACTCCCTTCAGGACGACCCCACAAAACATGCTCCGGGAAAATTTTTAATTCACTCCCCAGTGTGCACACACTCCTATGCATGCACACCCATGCGTCCTCACACAGAGGAACGCACCCAGAGTCCACGCACCCAGAGGCATCCACGCATGGATGGTAATGCACACCTCTTCTCCCCAACGGCCGGAGTCATGGCGGCTCATTACCACACGAGCAGAATGCAAAGGCAGTTTAGCTGACTAGGGAACGTGACTGGGCATGTCAGTCCACCCTGGATCCCCAGGTGCCTGCTCTACTGTTCTTCAGTAAGAGGCTTACAAATGATATTTGCTGAAGGGACTAGGAACCCCCGGTCAAAAGCATGTCTCATCAGAGGACTTGACCTAGCCCTTTCTTGGTGCAGGTTTGTCACCCCTGCAGAGTTCATTAGTTCAGGGGAGAGCAGGGTGAGGAAGGGCACTAGGGACATGACACTCCTGCTGCGTTAGCTGCCGCTTCCAGAGGAAGCATGTCACCTGGGCTTCTGGCCAGGACCTTGGCTCCCGCCCTAATTATCTGTGCATGGCTTGCTCTCTCTGCAGCCCCTCCCCATCGGAGGCCCTCTACACCCAGCACAGGCTGCAGAGAGCCAGAGAGTTGGAGAAGGCCCAGACTGCAGGTCCTGCCCACCTTGACCCGCCCTTCAGCTCAGGAGCGTCTCTAGTCAGCTGCTTGGAAATGTTTGCTCCCAATAGATAAAATACGTTTCTCTTTTTCTCTTCAGGAATGAGATAAATCAATCAACCTGCATTTCTCTCCCTACCCAGCTTATCCCGAGATTGTTGCATTCAATTCAAACAATTGCAATTTGTAAAAGACATACACAGATGGTAGGAAATGAGACTCAGAAGAGGGACCCCAGGCTCTGGTTCCTTCCCCATCTTGCTTCAGAGTACCATTACACCAATAGCCTGAGCAAAGGGGATCCAGAACATCAGATGGGAAGTACGAGGGCTTCTGCCTGCTTTTTACCCCGTTCTTCCTGCCATACCCACCACCCAGCCTTGGACAGAGAGATAAAAGATCATCTATGCTTCTACAAAAGGCAAGGTAGGAAGACATTCAATAGCATTCAAGGAATGCTGGCTTTGTCCAGAATGGGAATTTAAAGACCCTCTTAATGGCTGTAGGCCATGGCCTATAAGCCACTTTCCTTCAGTTGGAGCTCTGAATATAGATAATCCCAGAGTACTACATTAGAAGGTCTTTTCATCAAAGGATTTTGTATATTCTATAAACTCTTTTACTATATTACATTCACGTATCTACCTATCTAAAAAAAAGACAACTTCCAAGCCAAATACATACCCAAACCAGTGCCAATGATCCCTTCCCAAGAAGGCTTGGCGACTCCTAATTTTTGTTCTCTAGGATATCAGTGAGAACTTACCACTCACATAAACTCGGTCCTTTCTCAGGGAGCAGCCTCCTTCCCTCCTAACTGGGCTTGCACCCTCTTCCAACCCACTTCCCGTATTCTTGACTTCAAAGAAAAGGGAGAATGATATTTACCCCAGAGCGTTCCTATGGAGTATCCAGGTGGAAAGCAGTTAAAAAAAAAAGGGTTGAGGGTAGAGAGAAGGAAACAGTCAGAAAACTTCAGGGAGGCCAGGAAATCTTACAGCAGCAGGGAATTGGACAAGCACGGGCCCAGGAGATCCCGCTTACAGCCTTGGCACTTGGTGGAGTTCACACGCTCTGTGAAAGGAGGGACCAGCGCACTATTTGCTCCACTCCCACCTCTTCAACCTGCAAAGGCAAAGGCCCTTTGCAGGCACCAGTGAAACTGCCTCTCACCGGATGGCATTCCCCATATTGTGCTTGATTTCATGGAGACCCGTCTAGTGACATTTCCTAAATAGAGGCTTTGACTTCCATTTCCTTAGTAGTCTTCCAACAAACTCTATTTCCAGTGAATTTATAAGAAACCAGGATAGAGGAATTAGGTCTGCTCTGGGCCAGAAATTCTGTTGGGAAAGGCATTTTACGTCACAGTGGTGTATCTATGTTTCTCAAGGATTTCGTTTGTAGTGGGGTGCAGGACCTCTTTGATAGGGATAATAAGATCTCTCTTAAAAGCACAAATGGGAGAAACACCCTAAAACCACCTCAGGATCTGGGGCAAGGCATTGTGTATCAAGTTCCTGATGTCACACAAAGGGATGCCCTTTGATAAGTTAAAAGACCAACTGTCTATCGTGAGCTATTTACTGTGCACCTTGGAGAAAAATCGTCCCAGCTCTATTTGGAGGCCTGCCAATAATAAAAAGGGTGAGAACACAAATGTGAAATATTTGAGATTAAAAATAATGAGAGCTAACTTTCTGTAGATTTACTCTAGGCTAAGCCCTTTTAGTGCAACTCTTTCTGTGGCCCTTCTAATAACCTTCTAATAACAATTCACAGATGTGATTCAGAGAGGTTAAGGAGCACCTAGCACTAGCATGGGAAGCTGGGCCTTGAAGCCAAGACTGTGAGGTGGTCGGAGCTCTTGCTCTGAACCACTAAGCCTCTGTACCAGAAGGTTTTGGTTCCAGGCTCCATCAAACCATATTCTAGAGCTGGAAAAGATCCCTGAAACCCCCTTAACTACATCCCCACGAAAATGTGCCCTGTATGAGGTCACTCAGGGAGTGAGCCACAGTCCCACTGGGGATTCTTCCTGCAGCCATGTAGAAATGTCTAGAATTCAGGTTGGGCTTCTCCGCTGCCGGTTGCTGGAAACGGTACTTTTTCTCCTTAATCTTTGTAATGTATCACAAACCTACGGTACACCACTATATGTCCCAAGCAAAAAGTTCTCATGATAATTTTACTCAGTATATGATCTCATATTAAAAAATACATTCATTTTTACAGTACTTGCCAAACTAATGGTGATATGGGATTAAATCCAAGGCTTTATAAATCTTAAATCCCTCATGCGACACCCTCTGAGAGTTTAGAAGGCAAAGATAGTATCCTTCCCTTAGTTACAACAGTGTCTTCTCATACATGAGACTGGGCACACGGTGGGTCAGCCAAACACATCTTTATCCACTCATATCACAGCACTGATGGAGTCCTTAATGGAGGTCAGGCACTTTCTAGGTATGGGTATACCACTGTGAATAAAACAAATGAGGTCCCTCACTTCTTGAAACTTACCAAGTCTAGTAGGGAGGACAGACCTCAAGTAAGCAAGCCAACAAACAAAAGTATAATTGCAAGTTATATGCCATGAGAAAATCAATCATCTGACTGAAAATTTCACCAAAACAACTACACAGGTCACCTTCCTTTCCCCAGGCTACATTCATCGTGAGGAAAAGCTTAGAGAGAATCTTCCATACTCCTAAAATGAGAGAACAGAGTAGGATCAATGGATGGGCAGGTGATTTAGGGTGACACACTCCCGGCTTTTACCTGTTGCTTAGCCCAGGACCTCAACTCTGAGACATTTATGTCCAGTAGCATCTGAATGGGTTCTCAGAGGTTTATACTCACAGATGCCCATTTTATGAAAGAAAGCCCCAAATTTCTTGCTCTTCCCACATACCTGGATAAAGGACAAAATTTGTTCTCTGTAATTAATGTTTGCCCCAGGATCCTACTAAACTATTTTGCTATGGAACAAAGAGCATTTCTGACCCATTGTTTGTCTGACTTGTTTGTCTCTTGTTTTGGAAAATGCGGATCCTTAATAGTACAGTCTGATCTCAACAGCTGATTGTAGCTGCCGATGTAAGCGGAGGTGGGGGGACATTCGGACCATGCTGACTCCCACAAAGTTGAGCCAGGGATAGTAATAAGACTGAGGCCCAAAGCAAAATACCGATTAGTCATTGCTCTGCACATTTTTCAAACAGGCCCCTCATAGCAGAGAAGCCACTGAAAAGCTACAATTTTGAGTGGTTGCAGAAAAGCACGCTTGCTTCTTGGGTTTTTTAACATATGTTCAGCACGGATTTGAAAATTGCCTTTTGAAATGAAAGGAACAATAGATAACAAAACCATGGAGCCCATAAACGTCTTACTGACTTAGTCCCAATATTAATTTTAATATTAATTAAAATACATACTAATTTACACATATGCTAGGCCAAACTACCTTTCCCAAATCCTGGCACAGGAGAGTTATTTAAGTCATTATTGTAGTCAACAAGATGGCAAGGGAAATGTTTTATCAAACCAAGAGGACAAGTTCGTCAAGCACTTTAATGGAGGCCTATTATTTTTGAAATAATTCATATGCTTTTTACAAATCATTTAAATATAATCATTTGATAACGTTTTGTTAGTCTTTGCTACTCTATGTATAATCAGAATTTTTTTTACACTGCCTAGCTAGTTCGTGAAATTTATCAGGTTTAAAAACGGACTCTAATGTTAAAACTTGAGGATAATTTCACAGGCTAGGACATACTGGTCCCCCTTTAATTGGGACTCAACTGGGCCACCCATTTTCCCATTTATTTCCTACTCATTTCTTATTTGATAAGGTCCTGGCTGCTCTCCAGGAAGAAAAAAAAAAAAAAAGCCACACTTCTCTTACGTCTCATCAGTAAAAGATGAGAATTTTCCAGCTCAGTTGTCAAGTTGCCCTCCAGATCGTATGAATATCACTCATCATTCACTGTAACCTCACTTCTCAGTTTCTAGGCCTCCCCTTTCTTAGAAGACGTGCTTGCACATTGATTTCTGCAAGAAACCAGCTCTTTCCATGGTGGGCAGAGCAGGGACATCAGATTCTGAAGAGCTCCTCCTCCTCTAAGTGGAATGGCCTTCTGCCCTCCTCCATGAGCCCTGGAGAGAACCGCGCAGGGACCTTAAGGAATCTCTTGCATTAGAAGCACGGACAGGCTTGCTGGAGTGTAAGGTAGGGACAGGAGGTCACACTGTGGGGAGCCCTGAGCCTTGCTGAAATGTCTGGACTATTACTTGGGAGGCCATAATAACTTCGATATGCACTTGCTAAGGGGTTGGCACTATACAGGACACTGAATATATTTTACCTTACTTAATTCTCATAAGACCAAAACACAGCTATTTTTAATTTCCACTTATAGATAAGGAAATAGAAGTTCCGAGAGTTAAGACAGCTAATAATTCATTATGCTGGGGTGCAGACCTAAGTTAGGCTCTGAAATCCACATCCTTATTTATGTTACAGTGCCTTTTCAGATGAGAATCGCAGGAGGGTTTTTAACCAAAGGAGGAACAGCAAAAGAAACCAGCAGTTCCTGAACTCAAATAATGAGCTATCTTTCCTCTTAGCCTTAATCAGCCTAGGGCCTGTGAGTGTACATGGAAAGGAAAAGGTACAGATGGAACAGATAGGCAAGGTCGGGGATGCCCTTCCCTACCTGGTCCGTAGGTCTTGTCTATCTCCAAGCAGAGACAGATGGATCGGAAGGCTAAGGAGTGATCTGTACCTAGCCACCAAGTTGAGTTTACAGGGGTTAATGGCTTGGAACTGACTACAACAATGGAGGGAGAAGGGAGTTCGATGTAATGGAGAAAGCCCCTAAACTTGAAGTAAAAAATACCAGTTATTTTAGAACAAAAACTGGTTTTGCTACTAGTCAAATGAGTCAAAATAGTTAAAGTCTCAAGCAATCCACCTCTCCACTACAAAACAGGACTGCTGAGAGATGAATGAAATAAACAGTTTGAAAACACTTTACAAATTTTAAAGACCAGTGGAAATGAGAAGTTGCACGGGGAGTACTTATCCCCAGAGGAAGTCTAGGACCTGTTGGTAAGGCTAGTTCATCTATGTGTGTATTTTTCTTCCTCGCCCCCTACCTCAGCATCATTTGGGGTCCCCCATGAGCCCTAAATCCTTTGCAACTCTACCAACTTCCTTTGCTCCATGACCAGGCCACCAACTCTATAAGAAGTGGCTAGTGCATAATCCTTTCCTTCCTGCAAATGCACCTTAGTGAGCTCCCGATACACAGTCATCATTGCCTTCGAAAACTTTCTCCTTTACAAAACACAGCACCACACTCTAACCGGAAGGTCCACACGCTGAGAAGCATCAGGGGACAGCAAGTCACCTTACTGTCTCCTAGCAGTTTTGTTATTCAGGCTGGGGAAGAGTGACCTGATCTGTCTTGCTTCCTACACTTCACCTTCCAAACATACCCAAGACTCCTCATCTACTGAAACTTCCCAGAGGGCCTTGGCACTGGCTAAAGTCCAGCCAATACGCTCCCCCAGCAGGCGACTAATTCATAATGCTAGGTTGTGGCTCTGTGAGTGTGGATTAGGCAGATGGCTTGCAGGTCACGTGATCTGAGCTGATCCTTCCCTAGTCCCACCACGAAATCTGCTCTGAGTTACTCCAAAACTTACTGTTAAATCTGGAGGACACTGTGATGGATTTCTACGAATCCTGCAGCTCTGAGCTGGTCCTGTGTCTGGGAAGGCTCTGGTGTGGGGTGCACCTTGCATCTGAGGCTGGTGAGCTACACTGCGTGCTGCCATGTGAACAGACCGTGTTCCCTGGCTGGATCATTTCATTTGTTAATGTGGCCAGA